TTGCCCACTTGACTGAGACTCGTGAAGCAGTCCATAAATAGATTGGGACATAAATGCTAGCAGGTTACCACGTACAACAGAGCACTCGTATTTTCAGATGATTTCCATCCCATCTTCTGTGATGGGCAGATGGGCCCCCAAATATGCATCTATCCACTCGAAGTGGCGCCTGCTAATTGACAGTTTCCCATCTACATACCCACCTGTCACCTCAGATCTGCTCTGCACGCATGAGTGGCTTTTTATAAGACACTGTCGGAATGCACTTTGAGAGACACCCTCCGCGGAGTCCTCCGAAATTATAGGGACATTGAAGATCGCTGGACGGTTTCGTGAAGAGCCAACATGAGTCGAGTCAAGTTCGCCCTTTACATACAACACATGTTACACGATTTCCTTGCAAGTCTTGTTATGTACATATTTCCTCGTATTTATCTAGGGGGTCTTACATACTTTAATGTGGTCTTTTAATAGCGGATTTATAGTCGCCGTCAAAAGCACGACGGAAACCTGTACCACATCCTACCACATCCATAGAAGGTTTTGTGGTTCGTCGCGGACTGTTTTTGCTGATCACCTCACAATCTATTAGCCTCTATTAGCCTCCCCAAGCCTGTTGCATACATACATAACTTATTTGTACTTCCTAGTACATATAGACCAAGGTGGGCTGTAAGGGTTGGGTACATACGTGTAGGGGTTGGGCCTGCCGTGGCGCTTCTTGGGTCAACCTCCGCCGAGACGGGCTTGAATGGTACACTTGAAGAATTGCTCCCACATACAAGAACTGCCGGATAAATTCTCAACTTGTTGCGCAGGACATTCGTTCAATTCTTTCGTAGGCTCTTCTCCCATAAAATTAGGGATTCGAAGTCGATGTAAATAATTGTTACGTGTCCCTGGAGTGTATGTAACTGCTCAAGCTAACGCGCGTAGATGATTTCATGGCAGCATCAGTTGACCGAGTCGAGCCCACGATGTCATCAAATCCGCAGTGATCATGGCTCTGTTTGCGGAGTGGATGTCAGTTCCTGGCTTCCGGACTCGGTGCTGGTTACATCACACGAGCTCGTTTCGCGTGCAGTGTACTTGGCCGTTATATGAAATCTGATGAAGTTGTTTATGTATTGCAGTTCAATTTGTTGCCGAATGTGTGGTTCGCTGGCGGCTTGTGGTGGCTGCTGGCTGGTGGTGTGACTCATAGATCTCGTGATTTCTCCTTCACTTGTGAGGCTCACTCCTAGTACAACCACCTTAACTATTTTGGTACTTACACCTCACCCAAGGACCCGCTTGGTCGTTATTATTCCTGACTTCCAATCCTTGCGAAAAAAAAATAAAAATAAACCTTATCGTCCAATGAGCTTTCTGTACCTTCTTGCGAGTGCCTAATTGATCAGTTCCACCGGGTCACCTACCCCCTTAGACCTTTCATCTTCAGTTCATCTTCAGTTTTTTTTTGTATTCAAACATTCCAACCTTCACGCGGTAAAAGAAGAGCAAAACCACAGGCCAACAAACTACCCACCCACCATCTGATACACGCACGATATCGCTTTATCCCTCCGGCGATTTGATAGGTCACCAAATCAATCATGAGTGCCACCGGGCCAAGCTCGCAGTGGGACGACAATGTCCAGCCGAAAATCACTCCCAACCCATACGCGAAGCTTTTGGACCACGTCAACCGAGTCACCTTCCCCGAATACACCGGACCGGTCCGCAAGGTTCTGCTCGCTTTCGGCTGCATCCATGCCGTCACCGCGCTTGTCTGCATAACTGTCATGCTCATTCCTCTGCGGCGGAGCCCCGAGGCTCGGAAGAAACTTACTTGGCTTTTGCGGAAAAAATATGTCGCATCTAGTTAAGCCCTGGCTCTCATTTCGTTTGGGTTGAAAAAAATAATAATTAACGATGGAAGAATTCGTCTCGCTTATTGTGATGTGCAACTTTCGCTTGTTCCTTCGCAGTCTCCACTCCTTACCACGTCATGAACAGCGGGCTTGTAAGTTAAAATTAATGAAGGACCCAAATGCACTAAATTTACCAGGATGCTCATCCTTACGCGCGTTTCTTAGGTTGTAGTCGCCGCCCAGCTTATTTCTAGTCTCGTCTTTGTGACATACATTATTCTTGATTATTATAGTCTCAATTCGACTTCGTTTGCTCTGAGGGCTTGTCTTCACGTCTGGTTGGTGATTCTCGCGTATTCCCCATGAACAGAAAATTGCAACAATCAAATAAACTGACCTTTATCCCTTTTTTTCTTTTAAAAAAAAACAGTTGGGAATTATGCCTGTGAATAGAGATATTTCGTATTGTGTGGTACCGCTAATGTCCTAATCACATTGATCTTTTTTGCTAGGCTACCTGGGTACTTTGGATTCCATGTCACAGCCTTCAGTTCATTGTACACGTGGTTAGTTTTTTCTGCTCTAGAATTCTGGGGCCATTCAGCAGTCCCGAGCACACCATATTTACGTCGTCATTTTGTTTTTGAAAGTCTCTGCTCCCCAAGGTATTCAACAAGAAAAAGGAGTTTATTTTCGCACCCCCTCTTTCTCAACATCCTCTTCTATGGGCTGCCGGTGCTTGTGTCGATACAAACCATAGCCTGGTCGGTTGTCCTTGTTCTTGGCATCAAAGGCGAGGCGGACTCTTACTATGCACTAGCTGCCCACTTGGAGTACGGCTCGGATAATTGGCAGCCAGGACAAAGCTCCAGCAACCCGATTCATAAACGTGCAGTTTATTTACTTGGAAATTACGTAGACCAGGGTAAATACTTTTCCAATTGCTGGATTTGGTCCTCGAGGACATGGTCGGCGATCGGCATTTCACTTGCTCTGGTAAGCCTCCCGTCATAGTATTGTTCGATACAATAGGCGCAGCTACCTGCCATCCATAGCTTCGACGACGACAGGAAACTCGAGTTATTGCTGAGGAGCTGATGCGGTATTCCAGTTTTATGCACTCAATGTCGCAAATTTGCTCTACGTGCTGAGACAATGCCTGAAAGCGTCACAAACTCCACACCAATTCAGTGGAAACGCGAGGCCGGCCGACACACTCGACCATAACGTTCCGTCTTATTGTCGGGACAACCTCGAATCGCCCACTCCTCGGATAACTCTTCCCGAAGTCCCGATGGGCAACTCGAAAAAATTTCCCCGGTCTATTGTCGCTCAACCATCCGTCAAAGAGCTCAAGAATGGGTATAGTAAGCCGCACTTCCATCGTCATTATGTTTACGCGTTTACCCATGTGACTAAACCATTGTCAATCCGAACTCTGCAATTTCTGGTAGTTTATCTAATCGTGCACTGTACAATCATGCTGTTGGACCTGTGTATCCACGTCACTACTTCTACAATAAGAACGGTGCACTACGAACAGTCCATTGTGGAGTAAGCTTACAAACATTCATGTTCAACCAGTTGCTACATTCGCTGACAATCGCTTTTTTGTGTTGTATGATTTCCAATCTTCAGCAAGGGCTGGAGATCGAGGACCACCTGGTTGGTGCTACTGGGCTCTACTTTGGCCTCGTTGGCAATGATCTTTCACAGTGTAAGAATTCGATCATTGGGGTTTCCCTGTTCTCTCGCATGGAAGAACACTAACGTAATTTTATCCAATGACCTTGCTCTCAAAAAGTGGAGAATCTTTACCGAGCGTGACAAAACCAATGTTCCGGAGCCCAATCCTGGAATCCTTGTCCGAAAGTTTCTCACTTCCCATCGTGAAGGACCCGAGCCAGACTCCAACACGCCCAACTTCACTTTCCAGCGGCAGAAGTCGCACGAAACCGAGCCGAGTAAAACAGACAAACTCGAGCACAATGTGTTATCCAAATCCAGCACACCTACTTCTGATTGGTCGATCAACCCGATGCAACCATCTCGTTCACCGCCTCAATTCTCGGCATTAGATGATATCAATCGTTATACATCATACGAAATGCCCCCCATCAGCGAACGCGACAAGTTGGGCGGTTATCTTTGCGTTCCATCTGCTCATGTTCCTTAGTCAGAATTATCTGTTCACATTCATTCCTGTAGAAGAAAAAAAAATTAACATTAAACTCAAAGAAATAGAAGTAATTTATACCAGCTGGCTGAAACGTCTATTTCGCATGTATATTTTACCATATATGTTAAATTCTACTGGTGTAACTATCAATTGTTAACACACTTTATTAGCCCAATAATCACCGGTACCAATGACTTGCCCGCTGTAGGGTTGTCGGCGCCATGTTTGAAAAAGTGCGCGCCCAGGGGCGCCTACACCACGGCTCGAGTTTTTTTTTTGACTGACGTTGGCACAGCTCCGCGGTCAAATCCGGGGCGGGGCCAACCTGTATCCCTGGCAATTCACGTTGCCAGCGGATTGATGTGGACAATTGGTCGGGCATACGTTGGCCCGACCCGTCCGACCCACCTGCCGGGCCAACATTGTTGACATTCCATGTCGGCGGAGTCGGTGTAGCTCCCAGGTTGGACATGGCAGCGATCACTTACTTGGCCAACGACGAATGGCTCTCATCATCCGGCCAACAGCGGCGATAGGTCAAGCCCTCGTTGGCACGAAAAAACTCCCGCACTGTCTGAAACCCGCCCTTCGTTCGACTGAAGATATCATCATCCCACCCCACTTGCGACCAACCTGCCTGAAGAAAAAAAATCGATGGCCCAAACTCATCCAACCACCCCTGACGCCGAGCCAACCAGCCCCAAGCTCGAGCCAACCAGCCCCAAGCTCGAGCCCATCACCCTCAAATTCGAGCCGGTCAGCCCCACAGTCGAGCCGATGGACCACCCATTATCTGCCGAGCAGAGCGGGCCACCTCAGCAATCCATCCCTGTTCCGACTGCGGAGCCGGCTAAGCGTGCAGTGAAGAAGTCACCTGTGAGTTTTCTCTGCTCCATGATCAAAGCTGAACTCATCGGAGCTAACTTTTCACCTGTACATTCCACCTGTTGCTAGACTAAAATTTCTCCCGTTCACGACTTGAGGCGTAGTCGTCGCATTTTTGACCAGGTGCACGGCCAAGGAAGTATGTCCCTTAAGAACCTCAAGGAACACGCAGACGTCAAGGGTGGACGACCAAAATAATGTGGTCATTCAGCTTAGTAAGTATCTTCATCGCAACAACATCCTGACCGATTCATGAAGAAAAAAAACAATAAATTGTATTGGAGTTTAAACTCATTTGCATTGCTGTACATAATATTTGATTTAAAACAGATCGGGATCAATCCTTGACATCGATGGCACTAGTGCCTGCTTCCGGATTTTGATTGTTTTTTTATCTGCAACCTGCTTCCATTTTTTCATCCCGTTGTGCATAGTATTCACCCACTCTAGCGGTTGTATCGAGACCATAGCAACTTCCGAGAACTTCCTGTGAAGAGCCGATGACGAAAGCGATGCAGAATTGATAACGTAGTGTTGATTGTCGTTGTGGGTAACCTCTACCATCTTCCGAGACCCCTTCCGTCTCTCCACGTTTTCCGTCCCGGTCTCTGTGAGTTGACAATCACTACGGTGACAGTTGTGCTGAGCATTCAGTCCAGTCTTAATGGCCTGAATGCCATGAATCAGTTCCACACTCTGTAATGGATGACTTGAATCTGAATCCTTACCGATAATCTGACAAGTACTGTCTTAGGTGTCCTTTGGATTTCCCGCATGTTATAATAAGAATTTTGTTCCATTTTTTGAAACACAGTAGTGTAAACAAAAAACCTGTTTTGATTGGAGGCTTCCTTAATCGTCCAGATAGAATTGATGCGTCCAACATGATCACAAGGCTCTGATATTTCTGTCTGCGTAGAATTAAACTGTTAAGATTCAACAAAGAAAATCAATGAAGTCAGAAATGATGGAATTTAGCCAAGGAAACAGAGGATGACAAGGCTTCAGGAAATACCAGAATGAAGTAGTCTTTTTTGAGGACTTGCTTCTTGTTGAGGTTCAGTTCAGAGATTTGCTTGATTTCAAAGTCAGGATATAGACTCTTCAATTCTTGAGGAGTTTCTACTTGATGAATTGCTGGTACCGAGAGCTTCTTGATACAAGGATAACTTTTATTTGGAAGGGATGCTGATTGATTATAGCCCAAAGTCTGCTGTATTAAGGGATTTTGTGAAAAGATATTTGTGACTTGATTGGAAGATTGAAGATATTTTTTTTGTTTTTTATCAAAAAAGAAACCACCAGAGATAATTTGACGGAAAGAGTGATAATTACTGAATGTGATAGCTATATCTTGACCAGGACTTTGACGGTTGGAGTGAATTGAAGCATTTCTAAGGATACCATTATAGCTTTCAAACTTTTCAGTGGCAAAAAGACAAGCTGGACCAAAACGGAGGATAGATTCAGGAAGATGAAGTAACATATGGAATTTGGCTTTATTGATCCATTGGGCAGAGTCTTCAATTATATTTCTTAAGAATATATCAATAGCATTCCTCAACTCAGAAATATATTCTGTCATATCTTCAATATGAGTTTGGAAGATCAAGGAGCCCAAATGACAGAGAGAAGACCAGATTTTGATCTTGGATTCAGTCATGAACTGGAAGAAGATGAAAGGGGCTGCTTGAAGAATGATTCGGAAGTCTTTACCAATCAAACTTGATGCATATTGTACCATGCTTTTGGGTCTAACAGAAGGAATGTTGAGAGAATTTGTGTTGAAAGAATTCCATAAAGCCAAGAGGTCGTCTTTTTGAAGTTCGTTCAATCCTTTCATGAAATCTCTGAATAGATACTTTACTGCACCAAGCAAAAAAAACATGCAAGATTTCAACTGGAGTGTCCTCAACCATGTCAAAACCTAAAAAAACAAAACAAAAAAAGTCAAAAAAAAATTGAATGAAAAAATGAAAACCCAAATTAGCAAGCAAAATAAAAACCTTTCAACTCCAAAAAAGAATTAAACATCCTTTTTGGTTCCTTTTTTTCCATATCCACTAATTCTTGAGGAATTTCTTGATCCATATGAGTTGGTAATTCTTCTCCATTTTCCAATAGTTCCAGTTTTTTTGCATCGAATTTGAATAACTTTTTGGAAAACTTTCTGTTGATTTGATCTCGAACACCAAACTCGGCAGATTTCTTGTCTAATTTATCCAGATTAACTGTTTCCTTGACATGCGTCCATAGCTTTTTAGATTTTTCCTTAGTTTCTGCCATGGTTCTGAGTTTATTTGGGCACTGTTTTCATAAAGGAAAACAAATGAGAAATTTCTTTCAGATAAAAAAACAAAAGAAAAAAGGTAAAAGAAATTAAACCATACATTTGATCCATGCAAGTTTTTCTGTGCAAATTTTGAAATGTAAGGGATTTTCTCTCTTTCTTTCAAGCTGGAAGAACTTAAGACACAATATCGACAAGAATTTAGAGAGTTTCCAGGTACTGGCGTGTTGGTGATTTCAGCGTGCATAGGGGAATCAGCTAAAAAACATAAAAGGCTAGTCATGACATGAACTTCTTGGCCAATTGTGCTATCGTAAGCTGTAAAACCATTGATGCCCATGTCACTAAGCCAAAAAAAAAAAAACAAGGAATTAGCAAAAGGGAGCAAAATGTAGAATCTGTGAATGAGGAAAATAATACTTTAACTGTTTAACAACCATCTCTCCAAGTTCTAAAGGCCCCACGATGTTTGAAGTGCAAAGGAAATGACAATTGAATTGTTGATTGGAAATCTGAGGAGGCAAGCCGGAGAGTGTAAAATAATAGGAGATGTGTTTGTTCCATTTTTTTGATTTATTTCCAGATGTATCATCACAGTATAAATTGATTGGAACATTTCTCAAGATCTTTCCGTCCGCCTTTTCTCTCCAGGGATTTGGTAAAGTGATTTTTGGGTTCCATTGACTCTGTTCATCAATTTCTTTTTCAAAAATATGCAGAAACAGTACATTAATACACATAAATGTTTCATAATAATTCCAATTGTTTGGATTCTCACCATTTAGCTTTCCAGAACAACATTCTGATAGCATTGATCCATTACGTGTCTTAATTTCCAGATAGGTCAAGTCTAGTTGTTCAATAGGGATGATTTTGAGATTCTCATCATCAAAATCAATGTTTTCAGAAATTCCAATTTGGATCTTAGATTGATCTTGGTTGGATTTGAAAACTGGACTGAAGCATTTTGCAAAGATCTTGGTCTGTTGGGTGTAAAAAAAGATAGGAATGACGGTTTCAGAAGAGAGAAGTTTGGTGGGTTCATAGATGTAAAAGTGTTTTTGGTTTGATTCCACCATCTGAACTCGAAGATCTGGCAACATATGTTTCAGCCATTTCGCAGACTGTGAACTCTTGTAGACATTTTTCCCAAGTGTCTCTTCCGGAAGAAAATCCATGTGGGGTACGACCAAGGGATTCATCAGGTCCTTTTGAAACACATCGATCACAAATCAGCTCAAGTATTCGTCTCACATTTGTACAAGACTCCGCAGTGGAAAAAAAAACCAGTAAGCACTTACATCTCTGATTAATTCTTTTGCATTTAGTCCAAACACCGGCTGACCAAAGACGGTTTCTTCTTCAATGATAGTTCGATTGGTCATTTCACGGATCTTTCTTCGCATCGTTCGCAAGGCTTCCCAGCGCGGCAGGAAAAGGTGGTGCAGTGTCAAGACGCTACGGATTATATGGTACATGTCCCGCGATATAAGTTTGTGTAAGTACCCAACTAAAAGGGAACCAATAAGGTACTTCAAATCGGAATCAAAAATCGTAAGATCAATTTGTTATATTTCCTTTTTGATTACAAGAATACTCAGCTCACCTCCCTATTTACAAATGGGTACCAGGCCGAGGTTTCTGGTCTCACGTTTGCGATTGTTTCCTCCTCACGTCGAAAGAGAGGTGAATCAGCGGATTCATTGAGATCCTCCGGCTCCGAACTTATCTGACCAGCTGCCACACCAACGAAGTCCATCCAATTCAGCTCAGCCTCCTCGTCATCGGATTCCTCCACCTGAAAAGTACCCGGTGGAAACCCTTCGACTTCGTCCTCCGTTTCGTTTCCACTGTCATCGTCATCAACTGGGTTATCGTCACCCATCACAGTTCCAAGCTGGTCGATTGTATCGTCAACAATCATTGCTTCCTCGATCGTATCTCCACGCGCGGCCTTTCGAGCAGACTCTTGATCTCGCCGCTTTTTATTTAGCTCCACTAGATTTTGATGTCGTAAGTTCACACAATGTCGCTTTCGGTTGGTTGTCGCTCTTCCTCTACATAGCAGACACTCATATTTTTTCCCTCGAGTTGTGCTTCTTTCAATAAAATCTATAAAAAAAAGGTAAGTTTTTTTCTCACTTTTTTTACGTGCATAAAAAAATAGTTGGACTTACACTTGAAATCCTTATCCATTTTTTTGATTGATTTAACTGAGTACAGCTTTGTCGAAACCGATTGAAAACAACTAACTGGACTGTTGGCGATTTTTTTTTTTTGGTGTGTGAATCCGATTGCTGCCCTTTACTCTTTTCACTTTAGTTTTTTACCTTTTAGACTTGTGGTTCCAATCGGCTGATCATTCCCACACAGCCTCAAATCTGATTCACCTTGCCTCTGATCGATCCTCGTTCTTCATCCCTCCACTCTCAATCCGCCTCAATCATTCTCCGATCATTTTCATTCCTCCCTCCCTCCACTTCCATTTCATCATGTTGAACATGAATGATATCATCAATGGAGATCCAGATGATCCTTCAACTCAGTTTGAAGGAGTTGGAGATGGCCCACCTACCCCCCCCGATGAAGATGACCAACACTCTCCTGATCACATGGAAGAAACCGTTCAAACCGAACTCTTTGGGTCTTTGTCTACCGCGGATGTCAACATGACCGATCAATCGTCTACCCCTCATCCTCTTGATAACAACATCGATCGAGTTTGCTCTCACTTCCAGTCACAGCTAAACCTCGAACCCGAGTATTTGAAGATTGCTTCCATTGCGAGCAAGGTGTGTCCTTCCCTTCATCCAAACTCTTCCTGCTTCCATTCATTCTCGTCTTCTTTGCCTTCTTAACCGGTTTGATTGAACTGTTGATCAACACATTTGCTTTGGCTTTCTTCTTGCCAACAGTGCCCCCCAGAAGACCGGTATATAGGTAATCTCTTTGCAAACGGTGCATATCATCAACTCGATGTCAGGAACATAAATCGCTCCCAAGTGACCCATGCGTATGACGAATGCTTCAGAGTAAGAATTTTAACATTATCAATCTTTCTTTTCCCCTTGCTTACGACTCAACCAAATCAGTCATTTGTTAGAACCAACGCTCGCATGTTCTTACTTAAGCCAACACTCGAAGCCTATTCAAACAATCCTCACAACAACGGGAGCCTTCCCAAAACGTTGTTCTACCTTACTCTTGTAAGTGATTAATCCCTCTTGACCGATTCTTCACATGATCTCTACTGAATCGTTCTGTGATCAGGATGTGGTTGAAAAACAGCCTGACCAATGGAAAAAGGATCACCTCTGCCCTGCCCAACTAAAGAACGATCCAGATGCTCTTCGTCTGTATCGTGATGCTGTTGGAGAGCTACTGAAGTATCAACGCAGCAATTTGCGTACTCTGGTAAGTCATTCTATTGCACACTCCACACCACCTTTTCTTGATTGTGTATGTTTACAATTTGAACTTTGAAGCTTTTGCATAACATCCTCAAGACAAAAAAGATACATGTGGATGGTGCAGTACCAGCTCGCAAAGTGATGATAGCTGCTGTGAGTGATTTTCGATCTATCTTGGGCTTTCTTGGTATGTCTCACATCATTATCATTTCACCATTTAGATCTATAAAGAACTTCCTCCAAAAGGAAGCAAAATGAATCAAACAGAAATCGACCATCAAGTTGCCACAAACTCTGCCATGCGAGCACGAATGTGCTACGCACGACTTGTAATGGTCCACTACTATGCTCATAAATCCAATAAGGATTCGCAGTGGGCTGAAATCGATGAGCGATTAGCCGTCCTCCGAGGCTCCTCATATGATTTCCAACTGCAGTAAGTTTTTTTCTCTTGATTGCTCATTTGATTCGATCTTGCTGACCTCCACTGTTGTGCTGTTACAAAGCCATGCAGTCCTAGTCTTGAACAAGGACTTTTCTCTCTTCTCTCAAGGGAAGGAGTACACTGATATATCCAAGGAGGACTTCACCGTGCCCGACCTTGAGGATGTCCAAAGGTCGATCGAATCTGGGATTGTGCCTGTTACACTTAGATAGGTCACCAGCTGCATGCAACTCTTTCTTTGTTCAACACCGTACCCAAGATCATTTGGAAATTCCCGAGCTCTACAATCCAACCTGTTTTCCCGCTTACTTTTATTTTTTTGAAGCTCAATCTATCAAAATTTTTATATACTTTTGTCTAAGAGAAAAATGTTTGATGTACGACTGGCCATGTTCCATCCTCACTTATTTATTGTTAAAAAAGGAATCCATTCCTAAAAGAACCGGCCAATTTCTTTCTATCCGGTTTTATTATTTCAGTTTATTTTTTTGAGAGCAAAAAAACCGCCGGATTTTCCAAATGGGAAATCCGCCCGGTTTTATTTTTTTTACATCAACTGCATCTTGCCCGACCTCGGGGTTGTCCCAACTGCAGATTCCCCTGTCGGCCTTGTCAAGCGATTCACGACACGCCGACTGTGGTGAATATGCCGTCAGCTCAGGGAAGCCAGCCCGATGTAAGCCCCGTGTCGGAAGGTTTTCCCACCGCGGCCCCGATGAGAGGCCGGCGTTGGGAGCTACCCCGACCGCAGACGGCCACGTGGGTCCCGCGTTGGAGGTTGGGCCAACAGCGGCTCCCGATACCTCCCGCTCCGAGCCTCTGCAGGAAATTTGGGCGGGGTTGGGAGGGTCGGCCCCACAAAAAATCCCACGTCGCCCCGCGGTCGGTCAAAGTTCGTGGTGTACCAAGCCTTCTGAAGGGGCGCGCCTTTGGCTGGCGCAGGGGCGGCGCGCCCAGGCGCCATTTTTTTCTTCAATGGGGAACATTATAACTCAAAATACACAAAAAAACATTGATTTACATATAAGTGAAGGCTAAAAAAAGGAAGAATGATAAGATTTTTTAAGAAAACCAAATTTCAGTGGGGTCCCAGCTGGTACCAGCAACCAGTTTGTTTTGGCTGTCTTCAATTTCGACCATCCAGAATCTCGAATTTGGATGCTACATACATATTTCAAAATTGGAAATGATGGATCTGACAGCCAGTCAGTCCGCCAGTCCAATTCTGGGCTCTCTTAGGGCCCATCATTGTGCAGGGAGAGCCGCCGGACTCTCCAGGCCCCTCTGCAAAGGTAAGGGTTAGAGGTGCGCGCCACCCCATCTTTTTGAGAAAAAGTGCGCGCCCATGGGGCGCGCACGTTTGGCGCGCACTTTGGCGCGCACCAGGGGGTGGCGCCGACAACCCTAGCCCGCTGTCATCCTGTGGTTCAGCTTAGCCCCTCTATTTTCGGGGTGGGGGCGCTGTCCAGCAGGGAGCCCTCTGTCTTTCTTTGGGGCAATACACTAGTGCTTAGCCACTAGATCTCCCAAGGGATGCACTTTGTGTCATTCAATTCAATTGAGTGTGATGAACTTGCATAATCTTACCAGCAAAGGCGTCCCAATAGTTATTTTTAAGCAAAATTTACTCTCAATCAGAAAATATGATGTTTCAATCTTTGTCTACCACTGGTATCGACGCAAGATTCCCGAGAGGAAACTATAGATCTACTGATCACCGAGTCAACTGCACTACAAGATAATTTACAGATAAGTAATTTGATACCAGAAGCTTTGAAAACGGCCTTTGCGAGCTTTTCTTGCAAGGGTCCGTCAATCAGATTCATCTGAGTCAAGAAAACGATTGGTCACCGCGATCCTCTGGGTTAAACAAAAGCGATACAAATAAATACATGAGAGTTGCTGTCAGAGATGGTGGATGGAAGACAGATGACTCACCGCTTTTTTGCTGGAATGAGCTAAATTGTCTGCGAACGCGTTTGGAGATGATACAGAATTGGTTCTCTTCATTTGATCTGGAGCGTTTCCATTATCGGATGCCGCGCTGATTCGAGAATATGAGCTTTGGATCATAGTTCGATTGATATCGTGGCCTGCGCTGTTACCGGATTGAGCTTGATCGATATGTTTCTCATGCTTTCTGTTATTCAGTTGCTGATATGCCTGCAACCAGTTTGTATTTAAGGGGGAGAGCGGGATACCATCAGCCCATATTAGCAGTGATTGCAACCCATGAGAGTAGAGCTTCCAGAATTATTGGCTAACTTCGCAAGTGATACTCAAAAGGTTGAGGAAAGGTTTTCGCTTCGGAGTTGGCGAAGGCTCGTTGGCACAGTTCAAGCGGGCTAGTGAGATGGTGAAAGCGCCAGAAGTTGAGTATCCTATCGTCACCTGCTCGTGTCAAATCCACCCCATCCGCTTTGATTCAGAATCTCTGCTGGTATTAGCCCAAGTTCATTGGAAAGCTCACCCGAACTTCCGCCTCATTACCTTCCCGGTATCCTATCAAAGTAATATCATCATTGTGGAAAGATGACCTTATTTTATCTATGAGTTCGCCACGTGACTTTGAAGGCGCTAGATCCTGTAATTCCTCCAGTGACCTTCAGCCAGTTAAATTGACATAACCAATTTCAGTACTTTTCTTCCAAACTTGAAGGATTCATGTTGAAGTAGCTCGCGGTCTTCTCCGGCAGATGACTCACCATTTACCTTCCCACCAAGTTTCTCGAGGGCCTGCAGGATTTTCGGGAACGGTAGGTCCAATCAGGCTGAGGTGCCATACCTCTTCTCCAATCACCGAAGAGTACAGCAATAGCAATTCTTGGCTAGACCTGCAGTTTGTAGGATGGAGTGCGAGCGCAAGCTTGGACAGGCATGATAACTGTTCGTTGGTCATCTTGCCGTTGGCAGAGGGTGAGGGAGAAACTGAACAACCATATTGAGTCGACAAAGGTCTTCCATGGGCTTGAGAATGGATCCGACTGCAGATCTTTACACAGCATATCCGATCAAGAGCTGTGGGCTATCCGCTGTTGAGAATGCTGCGCGGTCGTGATCTGCTCCCGGATAATAAGCCCATCGGATCCTGGGCTGCCTAGTGACGCTGCTTGACGGGGCAGCTTGGAGATCAACGATATCTGATTATTCCTACCAACAACTGCAAATTCCGCCAAGAGCTTTCGTCACTACATATCGCCTCCATAATTCGAACAACCAACTCGAGGGCAAGACCCACTGACTACCAGCGAACCAATCCATCCTAATTCAGTATACACGAAGAACAACAAAAAACTATGGAAGTAATATGGGACTCCGAAAGGTTAGTGTAGTCTCTTAGGCTATCTATTTTCTGAAAATTCTGTCTAGCCCCGCCTCCAAGGGCTTGGGTATGGATATAACATCTGGACTGAATTTGATGCGCCAATCTGACTTGGTATTAATTTTTGTCGGACGATCTGACGATGCGGAACCTTTTCGTGCTGTCCTCCAGATTCTCCGTAGACCTCCCCGTTAGCAGTTTCACCCTGGGGAGCTTCAAGCGTTACCTGGCATCACGAACGGGAGTCCCAGCGGAACATATGAAACTCTTCTGCAATGCAGGCCTCATGAAAGATGACAGTGCACCCCTGAGTGCATTTCAACCGGAAGTTGATAGTCCCTTGGATCCCGGCGCCCAATCGAACAGTCCTCTCACTCGCAGCAGGCTATGGAGTGGCATATTCTCTGGGACCAAGAAACGACAGATATCCCCAATGCGGATCAGAATGGTTGGAGCCAAAGAAACGAGGAGCATCGTCTCCGACCGTCCTGATCTCAAACCCACCACAGCCCCATCGAACCAGAATCTTAAACCACAAGCCGGATCGAATCCGGAAATCATGAATGAATCTCGAATAATCTCCCTGATAAATGAGTTGACTCAAAAAGCACTCAGTGATAATCTACCCCGAGTCGAGCGATATGAGGGCATGGTTCCGACGGAACGAGGTCCGGATGAAGTCCCTGTTGATGGACCCCTGAACCCTCAGAACACACAGCCAGTCCAAGCCCAATGGGATCCGACAGAGTTTGCTGGTGTCTCGGAAGTGCTCCTGCAGGCGTTGCTCAAGCTGGATGGATTTGAGATTGAAAGCGAATGGACGGAAGCCAGGATGGCCCGTAAAGAGGGAGTTCGGGCTGTTCAAAAGCTCTTGGGTCAGTCTTCAAACAAAATATCCTTTTTTTCCCTTATTCTAATCATTGGCATGCGTGGGTATTAACAGATTGTTCACTGTAGATCGACTGGATCGGGTGAAAGGTGCCACTGGTCCCCAAAGGTAACCGTGAAGAGGATATCAAAAGCGGGACGTCTTCGTTCATCTTCGTATCAATATCTGAATCGTCAATTCCATAGCATCAATCAACTTTTCCAGAAAACGCTTCCTCCGAAAAAGAATCCAATCGCAGAAACGCAGCCAGCCAAATCCCGTGTGGATCGTCCTGCCATATCTGCGCATGATTTTTCACAAGAAATACTGAAGCTATCAGTAATAAAGCCCAGATTCTGTGGATCCATTCAATTGATATATCTCAAAATAAATTCTGTTGTTATTGGATGTTTGATTTATGTATCTGGAACGATGTTATCATAAGAGCCTTCTATCTCAGATCACGAGGAAATTAATTTGGAGAATTTTAGTGGTACCCATTATAGTCTGGCACAGTCATTTCAACCTATTATAGAAATTTCAGTCACATACTACACAGCACTTCTTGTACGACTTTCCCCTCCCCCTTTTTTAGTCAACTACCTCCTTTAAGTTACTCAGCCGCTTCCACACTCCAGCATCCTCATTTCTTCCTCGTTGTACTGATCTACTATTGTCTCAACAATTTTATTTTAAACGCTCAAGTTGCTCGTTTAAAATACTCCGTATCACTCTGATCATCTTCCAAGTGGATTGTTGTAAACTCAGAAAGTTCATGCTTCGCTGCCGCAAACCGCAAGTATTACTCCTGATTCAATTATCAAGTCTCTAAGTCAAGGCACTAGTCAGATTCAATGAGCTGGATCTCGTACAAGTATTAACTCAAGTTAAGCCCTGGGCCAAACGCGGCCTTAATTATGACCAAGCTTACAGCCGTCATTTCATTGCTTGACGTTTTGATGGGGAAACATCTGGACAATAGTGATGGTTTGGGTCTGGGGTTTGTAATTCATTCAGTTGCTGGCAAATAGATGGTCTGGCTGTAAGACTTGAAGAAAGCAGAACAAACAATGACAACATTTGTCTCTGAACTTAAAGACTAGACTCTCTCCTCCGGAGGAAGCAGACTGAAAGGCAGCATCTCATATCTCACTCGTCCTCATTCAAGCTACTGTAGCCGACGTTCACAATCATAGCGATGTCTGTTCTAGCTTGATTATAAAGTCCCTCCAAAACTTGGAGGGTGATACGGGGAGAGATCCTCTGGACCTCCCTGTGATCGACCGCCTGACAATGTCTCACCACACAAGGTAAAAGATGGTGTGACAAGAGGACATCTCTCGCGTTGTAACGCTTATTCAGCAATATTTTTTTATATAATGTTTACTTGAATCGTTTTCGTAGAATATCATTAAGCATAACCAATTTCGCAACGCATCGCAATACCAGCGGCAACTGAGTATTCGACTCCTCCTCCTTATATAGCAACCTAAAAAAAACCTGACAATTAATATTACTTATTTATACAAAAAAGTAAGAGAAAGAATCAATAGTTTCCTCTGTTAGCTTTGTTGATACGGGAGAAGAACGAAGAACAATAGAAAGAGGACGTACTAGCGAAAATATAAATATCTTCCCCGTTCAAGAAATGGTGAAACATGGTAACCCTTGGGTTCTGGAGAAAATGTCGGTTTGAAGAAAATGTTAAAATGAAGAGCATCTTGTTTGTTATGAGGATGAAAAAGGCCACATGACTTACCAAACGATAATTTAAGCGAGCTCATACTGGGAAGCCTCAATTCATTGAAGCGAATTGTAGCTAGAAAATAGCGTAAACGGATCATCAGCTGACGACACCCACGGAGAGAGGGGCGAAAGGACTCGTTGGGAGTGATGTTGCATTTGCGGATATTAGAGCTAGATTACTTACAGCAATAAATTTGGCGTGGAGCTTGGATCGGAGTCGGCAGGACCTAAGTAAATGACATTCTGGGTCGCATCTCGTTTGAGCTTATCGGACATCTGTTGGGTGGTGTAGTTCTGTCGACTAAGGTGAGCAGCTATCAGACCAGCCACGTGGGGAGTGGCCATACTGGTTCCGGACATTCTTTTGACGGCATCATCAGCCGAGAACCAAGCGGAGGAAATATCTGTGCCGGGCGCAAAGAAGTCAACGCAGGTTCCCCAGCTGCCGTAGGAGGCCCGATTGTCTTTGATGTCACTGGCAGTCACGACACTGCAAAGATCAACGCAGGATTCGTCAGACTACCCGCCTTGCAGACTGATATATAAGTAAGAAAAAGGGCATACTTGGCACCAGAGACAGAAGCGGGACTCGAGAGACACGCGTCGGTATTGGAGTTTCCAGCGGCGACTACAAAATGAAGCCCTTGGTTGATGGCAGCCTGAACAGCACGGTCCAAAGCGGAGTTTTTGTCACCACCTAAGGATAGCGAGACCACTGAAGGTTGATATCCAGAGGCTTTGTATTGTTGCAAAGTATACTGAACACCGGCAATCACGTCACTTGAACAGTGTCAGAGCCAATCAGACGCGACACGAGGGAGATAATTATCAGCTCATCCCAGATTCGAGGATAGCGAGTTTTGGAAAAAGAAAGACGACTTACGAAGTGGAGCCACTTCCATCGTCAGCAAGTACTTTGATTGCTTTAACCTGAGCCTTTTTGGCAACGCCCCAGCGGTTTCCAGCAACGATACCAGCGCAATGAGTCCCATGGCCATTTCCGTCGCTCAAATCATCTACAGAATTCCAATGAATGAGGAAATCGAGACATAGTGTAAATACATGTTTGAATTTCGGATCACTTACATCCACCGAATTGGGCAGCCATCTCGACACGACCCCCAAAATCATTATGAGTCTCACGAGCACCGGTGTCCAAGATATAAACGATAACACCTTCGCCAGCCGGCTGAGAGTAATAATAGTCATAGTTGACCGCAGCAGAGTTGGCTCCATGGGTGGTGATCACTTTCCTCTGGTCGATTCTTTGAAGGCCCCAAGGTGCGGTTCCCTTTTGAGAATAATGGTCGGGAACTCCTTGGGCGTTGACGGTCGCGTTGTGGGAAGGTTCGACTCCAAGACCGGTGACAGCCAAAGCATCAGAAATTACTTCATCGATCGGATGCACGCTCACCAACGTGTCGGGGATAATTTCCTGGACCTATGGGCAACGAGTCATACGGAATTACAGCTTGTTAGCGCATCTACTCTTCGAACATTAGAAAAGAGCGATAAGTAGAGGGAGTATTTACCCCAGCACTTCGCGAGAGGCTTTTAAAGGCTTGGTCGTCCAATTGGGCGCTAAAACCTTTGAAGCCCACTTCTTGATAAACGTAGCCTACTTGGTTTTCATTCAACGGTGAACCGCTACCTGATGCCCAACTCTTCTTCAAAGCAGACACGAATTCTGAGACTTCAACCTGGTCATTGAGCAGGACTATATAGCTCTTATGCGACTCCGTGGCAGGAGCATTTTTCGACACAGGTCTCAGGGTGGAACGGTTCTTCGTAGGCGTCGAGGTTTTATTCCTCGGAAGATTGGGAGGATTCTCAAGCGTGGCGTTGTTGCCAGGATGTTTCTGCGTGAGTGGCGGCACTAGGGATCCGGTTTCTGGGATGAACCAAAACGAGAGTTGGACTGCCAACAACAATGACATGGAGATCTTAGATCCAAAAATGATCGTCATCTTCGTTCGAGAAAGATAGCTACGGGCGCAAGGAGAAGGTTTTGCTAGTTGGGTCGAAAGGGAAGGCTTGATAAGGATAGTTGGTGCGCGAAGCTTGGCGGATGATGAAGTCTTCGAACGATAAGTTCAAGTAAAGCAAACAGATTAAGTTGTTCTGGGCAAACCCGATATCAATCAGAAGCAAACAAGTTGCCTGGCCGCAGTGTGCAAGTGAAGGATGTGAAGGAGATAGATTTATTATAGAAAGCAAATGTGAATGAACGTGTTGTGATCGGAAAAAACAGATTGTGGCGCCTAGCTAAAAGTCTACTTCGTTCTGACAGGACCCTGATTTATATAGGCTGGAACTTGGAAGGAATTCGGATTTCAAATATTTCCTTCGAGCTGCCGAATTGCTCGGGTCGTTGCCAAGATGCTTTGTTCGCTACTATCAAGAAGCAGTTACCCTGTTCGACCTATAAAATGTCGCTTTGCTATCTTTCCTTTTTTTTTTTCTTTGCCCTGACACCAGTCCTGACACTGCTCTGCTAAAAGTGGTGAACCGTCGAGCATTTCTCGGAGGCAGGACAGACGCTGATTTAATCAAGACTGGGGGTTGAGAAAACACGAATGAATCCAAGCTGCTGCAAAACGCGGCGTGGTCTATGCAAACTTGCGTGAAAGAGGTCAGCTGCCGCTCAGACGATCCAATATCATCATGCCACTGGCCAGCTGCACCGTCATCCAGGAAACCGGACCAAGCTATCAGGAAACAAGAGCGTGGGCTGTGGTGAGGGGGGTGAGCGAAACCAGGAAAACCTTAGAACTCGTGGCTACCCAGAACTTTTGATACTGGCTTGACGAACGTGAGCGACGCGTATCTCGTGTGCAGCGGCAAGCGGGGCAAACACTGGGAGTTTTGCAGGTTACTCCTGCAATCCGGGAAATTGGGCTTCAATGTGTCACTCCGAGCTTTCTGGTGGTATTCTCCCTAAGCGGAATGGGACCCAGTCAGTTGGAATCGTAACTTGCTAAGGTCCGAGTCAAGTAATTTCACATTATCAACAATGACGCACTCTGTTCTGCTTGTTCTATGGAGTTGTTCTTATGCAGACTGATCAACGGTTACGAGTGAGTATACATAAATAGGTTCATACTCACCAACAGCATCGCATATGTGATGCATCTGACTCGCCTGCAGAACTTGGATGATTGCTTATGAGTGCGATGAGATGGCGTCATGGAGTTCATGATATCGGGTCGAAATCATGATCAAATCAAATACACAAATGGTTTGTTGTATCCTACCTAGTGTTCAAACGGAATTTAGGATTTTCCCTTTGTCTCTATGTAATCAAGAGTGTGCAATTTGAATGAGGTTTGTCTTGATTTTTTCAAGACACGTAACAAATACAAACTGGTAGCAGATATGGTTATGCTATGGGTATATGACATTTATAAATTTTGCGGCGATGACTACCACTAGATAACAAGCCAGAAAACTTCCGATATGGTTGAGAATAGCCCCTTTCAATTTGAAGAACAAACATCAACTCTACCTTCGGCTGAATCTTCTGGCAAGAACGATAGGTCTGCAGATCGGCGGTTCAAGTAAGCTCATGTAGGTAGCTGAGATTCCAATCACCAGATCTGATGCTTTGACAAAGTGCAATTTGATTCCTCTAACACCGGGGCTACTCCTTCGACAAAGATGCAGATCGATGGACAATCGAATCTACTGGGAGGTCGATTTGAGCTGTGCATCGTACTGCGCTTTTTCTTGCTTGTACAGATCGCTCCTTCTCTGCCCTTCGATGACATATTCCTAAAAGCTCCATAGTCCACATTAGTCATAAAGAGGAGGACAAAGAGTTGATGGCAGACTGACTTGTTTAACCTCGTCTGGCATAGATTTCCAGTAATTTGCCAAGATTCTCGATCCTTCGACGGCGCTGGAATTCGAATCCTTTTCCGATGAGCGAATCTGCTCAGAAAGGTCCGGAAACTTCGACGGATTCGCTCGCAACTCTCCACAGAAGATCATGAACCCATTCAATGGCCGTTTAGGCGCGTTGGGGTCCAACTTCGGGATACCTTTTCTGCCCGTCGAGCGTCCCTGGGCCTTCCGCCGACGTATGTACTCGTTCTGGTTGATGTAATCATTGGGCGTCAAAGAGTCGAGGAAGTCACGCATTTCAATTTCATAGATCTCGCGTCGTCGGTCTAACTCAGCGAGATAATTCTAATGGAAACACGATCACATCGAAAGTGATGTAGTTGAGTGAGACAAGAGCCCGAATCCAATTGCACAATGAGTAAAATTGGTGCCATATGAGCTCATCATTCAAGAAAACTTGATCACGTACCTTCTTATCAGCGTCGCTCAACGATCTGTATTTTTCAGCAGCTATCGTGAAACACTGTTTGGCATCTTCCTTAGTTAATTTGCCATTTTGTTGTTTGAGTTCCTGGTCGATAATAGCAATCAAGTTAGTTAAGCTAGCTGCCTGTAAAAATTGAATGGATAACGTGCTCGAAATCCGGAAGGATAGATGGAACGAATGAGAGACTAACGGCCATCACATCTTGTGTGACTAATTGCATGACGTTCATTGCTCTCTTGGGGGGGACTAGTTTCTGGGGTCGTGTTTCTGTAGGATGCAGCGAGAGGGGAAAAATGTGAGCCTCTGGTTGCGCTTGAAAGGAGTAAATCGTAGAAAAAAAAACCCTACTGGTTGCTGGCTTATTTTTAGCCTTGGGGGTGCTACTCAGCTTTGATGATGGTTTCGGCTGTTTTACCGTGGCCTCGTCTGCGAGGCTAGACTTGGAAGAAAAACGGAGTTGGCCAACGATCACCAAGCGATTTGAGGCACCTAGAGGGACCGAATGCAAGCTCCATCTGGGGTGGGATCGTAGGAATACCGAGGCCATTGCGATATGTTTGGTGGTTGATGATGAGGCTTGGCAGTGCTCGGGCCAACCGACCCGAGCCTGGACACGATGGAAGCACCGATCGAGCGCACCAAGAGCGCGCCAAGACAGGCGTGCGCGGGGGCGTCTTTTTCAGCGGACCAGAGGCCAGAAGGTGACTCGTCCTGCCATGGACAATTCTAAGATGAAAGATAAGTTGTTTGCATGACAGATGAGTAGGATGAAATCACAAACTGGAGAAAATAAAAATATTCAACAGATCAGGAGTAAAATAAGGGCATCAAGTCACCCTTCCCCAAACTAGAATATTAGTTGGTTGTGTCAACTCCTCCTATCTCCACCTCTGACCTCAAAGCTGATGATAATTGAAGGGTAGAAAATGGCACCATCTTGGACTTTGAAGCCTTTAAAAACAGGTTCAATTATGAAAACAAAGTGTTAGTTTTGTTGTATTTTATCAATAATGGGCCAATCAAATACCCTAACTTTCAAGACAGTTTCTGCATGTCAACAGGCAGCAGTTTCTTGAGAATGTCTCACAGTGTAATTTTATTCAAAATCCAATCATTCTAAAGATGACGATCAGTACCCGGGTACCTCTAGAGGTACCCTGGTACCACCTTTGTTTTTCTCAGAAATGGACACCAGGTACCTCACCTGGCACCCCCTGGAGGGTACCAGTGGTACTTTGGGCGGGTACCAGCGGTACCTGTGGCCGCGGTGCAAATGGCAATCTTGTTGAGCTAATCTTCTAATACTATCACCTTTCTTTTACCTTTCCCATCTGATTTACCCTTCTTAGCAGGCTGAATACCATCTTTCCACTTGGCCAACACTCCTTCCTTTATCATCCCATTTTTTGAGTAGAAGGCAGCAGCCATCCCCCTCATTAGTGACTGCGCAGTAAGGAGGGTACCTCTAGCGGTACCCTGGTACCGCCTTTGTTTTTGCTCAGACATGGACACCAGGTACCTCACCTGGCACCCCCTGGCGGGTCCCAGGCGGGTCCGGGCGGTACCAGGCAAACAGGTGCCGGGTACCTCCAAACGGGTACCGATTGTCATCTTTAAATCATTCAATGCATGTGACAGATGCTGGCTCCTGAAAAAGTAAGAAAGGGCCTCCTGTGGCAAAATCTGAGCTTGAAAAACAAAGGCCTCCAGCCAGAATGAATTGAGCCCTATAGTATTGACCCAACCTAGCATGAGCTGAAATCGGAATTTAAGCGAGGTAGAATTCTTGAAAGCTTGCAATTCCTTGCTTTTGTAGGTTTCATTGGAATAAAATATCTGACATAGTAGGGATGGTTATTCCTGTGCTACAGTACCAGCCAAAGTCAATTTGTTTCTTAAGAAATTGATTGTCTGTTTTTTTACTTGTTTCTTAAGAAATTGATTGTCTGGTTTGTTTGCATATTGGAAGAACACCATTGAATAAATACACCACAAGAAGAATTACATAAGCAATAAATCATGTCATATGTATAGAAAACAAGAATAAGAAAGATCCTGGCCACAAAGGTTCTAAAACATGATAACCTGCAATGAATTTATGGCAAATCATTCTCTCTGGTATTGGTAGATTTGATAGATTGATCTCATTCTTGTCTTCAATTTTTGATGATGCATGTTTCCTCAAGACCTTCGAATCATGTTTTGCTTTGCTTTCCAATCACTTTTTGGAAAACTCTTGTTCTCATTTGGGAGTAATAATTAGGAGAGTGTTAGAGTTTTCAATTGATGTATATGCATAAACACAAGCATTGTAAAGTGTGTTGGTTGATTGGACTTGACATGAACAAATGGTGTTGTAGAAACTTTGAGACAAACAACAAAGAAACAATGTATTCATATGATAAGTTTGGACTGCATATTCACATGACACATGCTCCAAATAAATGGAAAGCAGAAGAGAAAGGTTTGTATTGAATCAAGTCATCTCATGATTTGTCAATAAAATCCAACAGAATCTTGATTACATCAACATGGAAAAATAAAGAATTAATGGGAGACGCGTTGAGTTATCATGGTTCCATAGATCTGAAGTCCCACATTCCTGGTAACAGTTCGTATTTAGATGGGCGTAATTCATCGTCGAATATGGTTTCAATCAAGATGGTATCGTTGACTGAGCTCATTCCAGATCTGCCAATCCCAGGCCCGTTCATGATTGTTCTGGCTTTCAGCAAGGATGGATCATGGTCCGCTTGAGGATCGGGTTGGGAGCCATTCAATTTCTGGCGTTTGCTGCACCTCGTCCACTCCAGATCGTCCGCCGTCTCCCAGATGGCCGCGGTGGATTGTGTATCTTGTCGAACATGGGGCTGGCCGGTATGGACGTCCAGTAGACCCATGACGGGTTGCTTGGGCCTTTGCTCAACCACTTTGGTCGTCGTTGTCCACCAATCATTTTGCGCCTTCTTGCCGCGCGATTTGAAGAATCGTTTGTGCGGCGAACGTGCCCGTGCTGGGTGGATGCCAGAGCCACCCACCCTAGATGAATCACCCCCGCCCGCTGCTTGCCCGGAAGCACCTTCCCCTGAGTTGTTCTGATCTTGAGATGTCGACGAGTGTTTCACTCCATAGATAGTGATTGTCGACGTAGGGGGGAGCGGACTGGTGATTCGGGAAAACACTTGAGATGGCTCAGGAGCTGTAGCCGATGGGCCTCCGGCATTAGAATTATTGTCGTCGTCGTCATCTGGCTCTTCCTTTGTGTCCATCTCCTCGCCAGGCTCCATCATCTTTCCGTCCCCGTTCAAGCGCATTTCTACTTCGACCTCTCTCCACTCCATCTCTTCATCACCTGCATTATCAGCACTAGTTGAAGGATCTTCAGCCAAACGGGCGATCGATGGGTACTTTGGAAACGGCACCATACGCTCGTTTCGGATGCCACGAAGATGTCGGTTCATCTCGCTAATAGCTCGACAGTACTGTATCATCCAATTCTTAGCGGTGAGATGACTAGCCATCCGACGCCTCCGCTCCTTTGAATCATTTGGGATTGCGATCGAAGGAGCCTTGCCATCGCCGCCAAAGATCGTTTTCAGTCCTAAAGTAGCCGAGCCTGCTGCGGATGGGTTGACGCGATTCAGCGCTAAACGAAATGCACTTTGGCAGGGCAGTCGCGTCGTGCTCTCCGGCACATCGGCCACGGCGGGGCCTGCGGATGGATCTCCGGGTTGACCAGGGGCGGCATTGGTTGCTGTTCTGTCCTGGGGCTCTAACCCATCGGCGAGAGCAACTTCTCCTAAGTTTGCCCCACTGGCTAATGCTGCATCCTCATAATAGTCATCAACCACCTGTCTACCATCTAGAACATTCAATTGGTTGTCCAATCGGATAGAAAAGTCAAAACCGGAACAGTCAGTTCAAGATTTCTTTGAATTTTACGAGTTGATTCAATAATCGAGAGGGCCGAACCTTTTAAAAAGCGTGCACCCATCACTTTGAAAGCGTTCCTTGCAGAACACATGGTCACAGCTCGTGATTTGAGGTTGCCAGATAGAAAACCAGCGCAAATCAACTCGTCTTTTTCTATCTGGGTACAACTAAAGAAAAGTTAGCAGACAATGAGATACTCCCGCTGATGAACCAAGGAAGACAAGAAAACAAATGAATTTTATGACTCACGGGAGCTTTTGAATCAAAGGATTTCGTCGGAAGAAATACAACGAGTCTCTGTAACCTGCAGCTCTCGCGGCATCGATCGACAGCATGAAGTGCTTGTTGGGATTCGACCTATTTTTGGAAGTGAACGTTGGAATTTTATATTGCCGACCTGTACAAACGAATCGAGAAAAAGGCATTGGGGCTCAGATCGACGAAAGATAACGCGTTTCGTGAGGGATGAAGCGCTTGACTTACCGCCTAGCAGGACGCCTTCTGGAGTGACTTTTGTGTCGCCCTTGGGGTCACTGGGAAGGGTTAGTTCATCATCCTCGACCAAGTAAGTGACACCTTGATGGACTTTGGTCTCGCACCACCGCGTATTACCAGATGAGTCTCCGGCAGTCCCTGAGGGGTGGATATGTAGTTCGCCGTTTTCAGTATGAGTGATGAGTCTTCTTACGGTCTCGATTCGACTGTCAACTTTGATTTTGCGAGATAATACTTGAGAGGAAGAGCCGGTTCCCTTCATTGGTCTACCGATACTCCAGGCGCGTTGATCGCCATCCATCGTTGCTTTGGCTTTCTTGGCTGCCTTGGATTGGAGTAGTAGCTGTTCCTTCTTGGCGATCCGTGCTAATCTTTCTTGTTCCCTCTTCGCTAGCCTTTCTGCCTTCTCTCGTTCCTTCATCTCTTTCTTCTTTTGACGCTCCCGCTGTCTGGCAATTTTCTCTAGTTCCTTTCGTTGGCGAACGGTCATTGGCTTCTGGACGAGAGGGAATGCCATTTGAGGAGCCGCTGGATCGGGTAGAGTACTAGGTCCTCGCTCTTCGACTTCTTCTTCCTCATCCTCTTCTTCCTCCTCCTCCTCTTCTTCCTCTTCTTCCTCCTCTTCCTCCTCCTCTTCCTCTTCGTCACCTTCATTCATTCCATCCTCCACCTCGGCGGCGTCTTCTTCACCTTCGTCTTCCTCTCCTTCCCCCTCTTCTTCACCTTCATCATCTTCTTGACTTCCATCATCTTCCTCATATTCACCTTGTTCTTGACCTTGCTGGAATGCGTAAGTATACTGTTGCAAATCTTTTTTTGTTTTGCCCGTTTCAAATTTTAAGTCTGATTAGCCAGCAGATTGATGAGTCTGACATGAAGGAACGAGTTTTAATCTGACCTGGATGGGTGAAAGGAAGTGCTCGATTCATCGTGAGGGTGATTGGTGGTTCGATGGCCTTGGATATCGACAAAGGGTAATCCGAGTGGTGTCGCGTGCTGCTGTCCGCGCAAAACAGGATGAAGACTCCACGGATAACATCTACCGGGTTTCTCGGGGTCGGGGTCGAGTTCCGCCTTGTGTGAGGTGCTGTCCTGTCACCTGTCTACAGGTGTGACATGTGGCCGTGAGGGGCTGTCACCGATACATCTTTACCCTGACGGACGGGGCGAGACCCCCCGCAGCCGATCCCCTCCCCCTCTCCCCTACCCGATGGTCATTCCCTCTTGGCGTCGGCTACTCCTGCCAGCTGTTGTTGACCATCTTTCTTCATCAAGCTTCCGTGCTTGCATCTCCACCCGATCAAGACCAAGAAGAATGGCCACTCGGAGCGCTCGTGACAACAAGGCCCTCAATGCCCGCCATGCTGAAGTATTGAAGGCCATGCTCCGCCAGCCCGAAAACAAACTGTGCGCCGATTGCAAGAGAAATGGTCAATCGATTCAGCTTCCTCTGTTTTCCCAATGATGTCACCTCCCACCGACTGACATGCTGGATTTTTTTTGCTCGTTTCTATAGACCCCAGATGGGCTTCAACCAATCTAGGGTGTTTCATGTGTATCCGCTGTAGTGGCATCCATCGAAGTATGGGTGTCCACATCACCAGAAGTGTGTACTCCTTCTTTGATGCAATGCTCTGATTACTCAAAACAAGAAGTCTGACACAGCTCGCATTCCCCAGTCAAATCCATCGATCTTGATACTTGGACTCCCGAACAAGTGGCTTGTGTTCAACGATGGGGTAATAAAAGAGCTAATGCATATTGGGAGGCTCATCTCCGACCTGGACATATGCCTCCGGACCAGTTAAGTACAGTCTTAATCTGCTATGATTTGATTTGCGAACTGGCATTGATGATATAACATTGCGATCAAAATAAATTTTAGTAAGATCGAAAGCTTTATACGCAGCAAGTACGAAAGTAAACGTTGGGCGATGGAGGGTCCTCTACCAGAGCCAGAGACGTTGGATGATGATAAGGATGTTGCTCCTGCTGCTGTAAGATCACTCTCATCGATCTCAGCTCCACAAAAATCACAGAGAATTAAAGTTGATCTAAATACTTATTTTCCTTCTGAAGCCCACGGCTGTTTCCCAGAACGCTGCACCTTCAAACCCCACGATATCCAAAGTCACTCCACCAACGATGAGCAAACCTGCCACCTCAGCCTCAGCGACGAACAACCCCTTAGATTTCTTTGACAGCCCGAATGATCAACCCGTGAAAACAACTTCTGGACCGGCGAGCGTCAAGGTCGAAAATAATGTTCAACCGAGTGTCGGTGGAGGCTTGTTTGACTTGGATTTCTCGCCCCAGGCCTCGGCAGCTGCAGTCACTGCCACCGCTCCTGCTGGAAGGAAGGATGTCAAGAACGATATCCTTTCACTCTTTGCAGTCAAACCTCAGCAAAGCTACACAAATCCAATAGCCCAAGCCCCAAACATAAACGCTGTCAACAATCAGTTCAATGGTTTAAACTTCGGGGCAAGCAACACGATGCCCCAGGTCAACAACGTGAATAACGTGAGTCCTTTCAGTCTTCTATCTCCCGAGCTGCATATTGACTGGCTTCCTCATACTCTTCCAAAGCCCTCGAATCTATCCCAAAACAATTCATTTGGCGATAGTAACAATGTCTGGGCTTCTCCCGCTGATCAACTACGCCAACAGAGCCAAGATCCATTTGGCAGCTTCACCAGTGGTACCACTTCAACAAACGGCAACAACAAAGACGTCTTTTCTGACATTTGGAGTTGATCCTATCACCGCTGTCACTGCTCACAGGCTGGGTTCTTCTGCGAGCTCTTTTTCCCCATCTTTACTGGTTGCCCGGGTATTTTACTGTTTAGGGAAACATGTTAGAAAGCATCTCAAAAAATCCTTCCGATCTCGACCACTTGTTTCATATCCCTCTTTCACTACCTGCTTCGATCCTGGCTTCATTGACATCCTATCCACAGGGATTCGTCTATGATTTCAATTTTGAGCAACGTTCACATTTTTTTTTGCGTGTGTGTTCTATGTTTTCCCATTTCATTTCGACCCTAGTTTCCTCTCTGGATCAACAAAAACTGAATGTATTATTTTTATGTACATGCATGGTGGAACCAAATCAGATAATAGACTTCACAAACTCAGCATATTTACATATGATGAGGTTTTCTGGGGAAATTCAACTTCTTATAATTATTTGTTTGTGTTTTACTTGCAAGCTTTCAGTAAATTGTGTTGCAGTGAACTCTGAGAAAGATTTTGCCATGACAATGATTGTGTGCTTTGAATAGCTATGGTTGGTACATATATTGAGGGAGGCAGAATTTTGCTAAACACGTCTCTTCCAATTAGCCATCATTGAAAGGCAAGCTGTATTTTTTTCTGAAGATTGTTTGGTTTCTTGAGCTGGTATTATCATATTGAAACTGGAAGCCATGCAGTTCATGATGTGAAGGTTGTCTACTTTGAAAACAAGATCAAAATCACAGTTCCCCCGAGCTCAAGATCAGGTGAAGAAACCCTTTGTTTTGAGGTGGCTTCTTGTTGGTTGACTCTCTGAACTGAAGGCAGCCTTAGACTTTGAACTATTTGGTATAATTGAAATACATACAAATCCTAATGAGTTTGTGCTTTCTTCATAAATATATCAAAATCTCAAGTTTGTCAGAGAAAAATCAGTCATTGTGGGCCTTGATTACAAATTAGAAGGATAATGCGCTGATGAGAGTGATGGTAGAGCCATTGGCAGTCCCACCTTTCACAATGGGGCATACAAGTTGCGGCTGTATGAAATCGATTGACTCACTGGAACTTGTCACTCATTTTATTGGTAAATTCACTACAAGAAAAAGTCAAGCAACTGTCAGCAGTTGACATGCAGCAAGCTTCAATCACACCTCAATGCAAGCTCAGGTCATTGTGCTGATGTAATTTGGTGGTACAGCCTGAGACTTCAAAGGGGTGGATCAGAACAAGGTACAACAAAAGTGTGAGTTCAACTCAAGCTCAGTGCAGAGTATGGTCTGAGCTCTTGCATGTCAACTGACACCAGTTGCTTGACTTTCTCTGGTAGTGAAAGCATTGCTCACATGTATAAACTAACCTTGCTCATCATAAACAGAAGGTGAAAGGTTTTGTTGAGGCTATGAGGCATACAAGCAAAACCAGCATTTCATGACAAAGGGTGAAACAAGAGTTGTGACTTATGACCGCAATTAATGTAAAGAATTTGGACAAAATAATGTTTCTACCAGAACTATGATCTAATTCAACAGTACTAGTAGTCCTTTCCCACTCAAGGGCTACTCCTTTTCTGGATGATAATCAGTAAAAATGTATTGGGATCCGGAAGATACGAGTAAGCCTTACCCCCAAGAAAATCATGGTCGGCTGTTGCGGCTTCTTCAGAAGTTGGAAGACCCAATGGCCATCTTTGAGAATGAATTTTCTATCGCACTTCTGGTTTTAATATCAAGGTCTGGTATGGAAAATGAAGATAAAAATAAGAGAAGTAAGCCAAGTGTCTAAACGTTTTTAGCTTGGGAGGAAGATGCAATTTTGTTCACTCTTGAAAGATGTATTCAGCTCCGACCAGGGCCCCTGCTGAGAGTAGTCTCTTGCTCCGGTATCTTGCCTCCAGATCGACTTACTATAATCAAGCACTACCTTGGCTATTGCCTTCTCTTGTAAGAATCTTTTTATCTTCTTCGGATTGATAAAGTCATTCTCCGACAACGAATCGACTACTGCAAACGCAAAGCCGCAAGTTAAGTGCCAGTTCCGCTGGCTACGAGTCCATTTTGAAAGCTCGGATTCAAGGCCGTCTGTGGTCAATAGAGTCTTGACATTCCCCAAAATCTTAGTGCTAACATCTTCCAAGTTGTTTTTGACTTCCAATTGAAAGCTTTCACCCGAAAGATCCACAGGAAATTTGAATGTCGGAAGTAAGGATTTGATCAGTCTGTGATATGACACGTCCGAATCGTGTTGCCCGAGCTCCAAAAGCCTTAATTTTGTCAGAATCTCGATTTTCTTCTGGCATTCTTCGATAAGATTGCTGGCCATATATATGTTTGGGAATTGACTAATGTTACGAGTGCGCTTGACATCCTGGAAAGTGCCAACGAGGGGGACTTGATAGTGCGACAGCTCCACTAAGTTTTTGTGGAGCGCCATGACCTTATCTATTTACCAATCATGTTCATCAAATCAGTGTTAATTGCAAGAAATTAAGTAGAAAAAATGGCCAAAGAAAAGGCTCACCTGAGTTCACTACCCAATTTCCTATTATTCTTGAGCCTAAAATTTTCAAACAAAGATATGATCATCAAGCATCAACAGATTTCAAGATGTCAGTAATCGACTAACGGATTTCACGAGACCAAGATGTGTCGCCAGTCAATCTGTCCATCAATTCTCTAAACACTCTTGTCAGCTGGGATAATCGATCATAATTCCAAACCCCGTTGTCGTGACTTCGATAGCCAGGGGATAGAGATTTTTCAGTTTTCATAATGTAATGTTGCTGAGGTTTAAATGCTGAATATTCGTCAGAAGATCCCCGCTCTATTCCATTGCGTAGACTTCTTTCCTTTCGAGAGAATCCAGAGACTAGGGATTCTGTAAGGATAAAAATCAGAATGAGCATAAATTCACCATCTTGTCAGAAGTAGTTCAAAGCTTGAGAGGAGGATAAGAATGAACGCCGATGTACCCTCGAAAGACTTGAAATCTGTGCTCCCAGAATTTTTCCAATGCCTCATTGCTCTCTTCGAGTAGGGCTCTTCTATGACTCTTCTCATATCATCATCGATTTCTGTTGTCACAGTCATCATTTTTCAAAAGGTGTCCAAGATGAATTAGCTTCCCAATCTTATACAAGTGATTGATTCTCAAGTTTATAATTATTACCTTTTGAAGTATTATCTAAATTCCCAAAATCTGTCTTGGCTTTGAGCTGAAGCCAAGAGGGGCGCTTCTCAATCAAATTGATGAAGGAGACCACTACTAATTTTGCCAATTCCTGATCTTGTGAGAAAATAAGAAATTTTTCCTGATTGATGAAGCCATTTCTGAGCAAAAGATCCACTACTTTAAAAGTATACCTCCAGGTATTTATCCAGTCCAGCTCATGATATTCCCATTTCATAAGCTCAGCTTCAGTATTGTATTTGGTCATCAGTTCCTTCACTCCATCTAATACCGAACCGGCAACTGCTTGTAACTGTTTCTCTGCTTCCAATCGAGAGCGCTGAGTAGAGGGAAACTGAAGTGCAGGCAGTAGTAATTGACCGATTTTCCAGTATGACTCATTCGAATCGTAGTCGCCTAGCTTCAAAAGTCTTAGTTTCGCGAAAATTCGAACCTTCCTCTGAAATTCTTGTATGATACTGCTGGCCGTATAGATATTTGGGTTTTGTTTTTGATCTGTATTCCATTTTATGAAGTCAAACATTTGATTAATATGGGATTCGTAGGGCAAAAGCTCCATCAAGTCTTCGTTAAGCGCTGTGATTTTCTCTAAAAATGAAAAAAGTCACTCCAGTCAGTAATTGCAACAAATCGAGAAGTAAATAGGTAAGTAAAGCTTGAACCTGAATTTCTTTCCCAATTTCCCTTCATTTCTGAAACTGAACCCAACATATAATAAGACTGTCAGCAGATTTCAGGAGGATGAGTGTAGATCAATAGACTGACCCATTTGGGGAGTCAAGGAATGTTCTTCGGCCAACTTGTCGATCAATCTCCCAAATGTGGTGGAGGGTCCTACGACGTAAACCGGAAATTCAGTTTTGTAGTCGCTCAACAAGGTTTTTGATTTGCGGATTGCATGTTTTCTGCGCTCAGGAATTTGATTTTTCTGAGAAGACGGTCTGTCGAGTCCGCCACGAATACTTCCTTCCTTGACAGAGATCTGCTCAAGTACTGAACGATTTTGATCAACAAACAATATCGTTGTAGGGCCGGTGAAGAGAGCGTCAGCAAATTAAGGCAGGCCAAACAAAGACTGAACAAACGAGCTCTGGTCTGCTCTGATAAGACGGAATATGAATGTAGTGCATACAGTCTGAAGATCGATGGCCTCTCTCGATTGCGACAGACTGGTCATAAGCTCCGCCAGGGTGAACTGAGGAGAACCATAAGCTAAGAAGAATCAAACGGGTAATCATCTTGAAATAATCAATCGAGGTATCAATTGTGACTCTTTCAGATTGAGCCCATCACCCCGTCTTTTTAAATGTGCTGCATCTGGAACTCATTGGTCAAGATTTATGGGCGTGATAGCCCAATACTTACGGCCTCGATGCATACATCCCCGGAATGCAGAGCCCGAGATACGTTGGCAGATATGAAGTATTGGGCCCGGAAGACGATCCCATGACACCTCCCGTTGATGTGTACAACGATGACGAAACAAACATGGAATTATTTCAACAATGGGTCAAGACTGGAACAGTTTCACCTCAAAATTTGCAACTGGGCCCAGTCTTATTGTTTGCCGGCTGAAGAACTACATACAGACTCGTATAGAGAGTTGGGGATAGCGAAACATGCATGGCGGAGCTCTGATTGTACCTCATGACTTGGGCCACCTTCCGCAGAGAAAGCGGAAAAAGCAAACTGCAGAGGTGTAACAGGGTAGATCGGTGAAGATTGGTGACCATAAAACGTGTCCCTCTAGTTGCAGTAGTCTGAAATGCTATCCATGATTGCGTGACCGGATGTGGAGCCCAAATTTTAGGAAACGCCGAACAATCCTTACCGGGTACAATGTTGTACCGGTTGGATGAGGTGGAAGGAAGAATTGGATTACATACAATGGTCCCCTTGACCAGGATGGAATGTGTCGGTCCAAGGGGAAGAAATCACCATCCTCCATCTCCCATTAACTCAATGTGAAAAACATTGATCCGGCAGCGGGGAAGAATTCCTCTCCAGTCTCAGTGCCCCTTCTAGTCCCTGTCGGGCCTCTACCCATCTTTGGCAAGCCCAAGAGAACAATGCTTCAAAACTCCACACAAGTGCCCCAAGCCACTTCTGCCCCCCCCCCCCCTCATATGGGGTGATCCAAATGTTAAGTTTCTATTTTTGCAACTTTGTGAGTATTGCCTTTTCATTGTTTGGCTTGATTTGGTGATTCAAATTTGTTTTTCTATAAGCCCTTGATTTTAAAGCCACCATTGTGAATCCAGGAGATGAGTTCAGGATAGATGACAAGAGTACATAAAGGGGGGAAGCTTTGGTCATCATGTGTAGTCAGGTACCAGTGGAAGACTTCTGACCAATATCTGCGGGTCTCCCAGAGCCAATTTGGAGCCTCAAAAAACAAATTTCTCTGCAAGAATCAAGAGCTTTGGAGTCAAGATCAACTGCTGCAAGGGTCCCAGATCCAACAGGAAGTCCTCCAGTGGATGACTTCCCATTGCGGTTTACAACCCTCCAAGAATTTAATTTACACCCCTTAGATCTTAATTTTTGGTATAAAAAAATTGTTTTTTCACAAGCCTTGTGAAGACAGCTTTCATGTGATCTGGTTGGAATTATGATTGGGGTGTTAATTTAGGACTGGTGAGAACTTAAGCATCACTCTAAATGCCAACATGAAGTCCTCCAGACTGATCACATGGTCAACTCTTTAGAAGTTTTTTTTCAAAAGTCAACAAACTCATAGTAAATAATAAGAGATGAATCAATTGCACACAAAGGAAATATAAATTATGACCTCTAGCAAGTTGATATCTTCATTTCTCAGAACTGTTGAGCCATTTCCCAGGTTTATGAAATGGCATAAACACTTGCATCACACTTTTACAAATTGATTGAAGATTGAAATTCCTCAATATCATTCTATATCAAAACTGAAGCATTCATGGTGAAATTATGAGAAATCCATTACAAGGACATTTTGATATCACTCTACCTCATTAGAAATTGTACAGTCACCTACCAGTAACTAGAGATGGTCGCGGATATCTGTTATCCGCTGGCGGATACCCGCCAGTGCCAACGGATACCCGCCAGCGGGTGCGGAGGTCCCCTCCCCCCTGAAATCCTGGCGGATATCCCAGTATCCCAAGGGATACCCGGTGCCAAGAGACTGAAAGAGAATGTATTTTTTTACAAAAACAAAGAAAAAAAAAATTGGCCCCCCTTGGCCTAGAGAGCAGAGGCCACACCGCCAGGAGGAATCCCTCCCGGCAAGCTGGATTGCCGGGAGGACCCCCTCTCAGCAAGCTGGAATGTACAGTCTCCTCCCAGATGTTTATAGCCATCTGCTTTGAGCTCCACAGTGGGAACCCAAAAACTTCATGTCACAAGAGTTTGTGGAATGGTGGTAGATGGGTTTCAAAGAATGAATATGAAAAAATAACAATAAAAAACAAGATTTCAAAATTTGTGAAAAAGATACAGCTATTGTGCAAATTATTGTGCTTTTCCATGATTTTTTTTTTACCGCATCAATTTTTTTTCCCCCGAACCCAACATTTCCCCGGCGCACAGACCTAGGGCTCCCCCGGAGGACTTAGGTCTCCCCCAGCAATATACGGACACAGGTTTGTTTGCCTGCCACCCCCCTCTCCCCAGAAGCAACCTATTTGATTTGATCGTCACTAATACTATGGGACCCGGAGGTATGTACAAGTTTTCTGATTTTTCTTATTTTCTTATTCTTATCTTTTGTTATATTGTTTTGCTAATTAGTAATATATTGGATTGTGTAGACTATTCCGACTACCTTGACGGCCTACAAAGCCTTGATCAAATCAGCAATTGGTTGGACGATCAGTCACCAGGTGATGAATCCGGTGGTTTGGCAAGTCGTTCAGTATCAGTTACCAACACGCAGCAAGAAGGGATTAATCCCGAGAACGATGTCAACGATGACGAAGATGGGGAAGATTTCAAGGTTTCAATTGATTACAACCTTTTCGTCACTGTGAAAAAGAACAAGCTGAAGCCTGATAATACCCGTGGAGGAAATAAGCAAAAGGCAGGGACCACCGAAACCCCTGATAAATACGTGAAATTAGTTTCAACACCAAATAAGCTATCATTTACATGGAACGCTTCACAGACCAGCCTTGCGGCTTTCAAAGAGGCAACGCTTGAAGTTCTCCGTGCGCTGGAACCAGATTGGGTCTTTGGAAATCTGGAGAAGCAAGAGAGGGATAAAACCTCTGCTGGTATGTGATTATCCCTTACGGCGGACAATTTGTTGAGAAGAACCAAACGATGTTGGACAACTCAAAGATATTCGCAAAGTTTCTTGACGTGGCTGAGGGGAAGGGGGAAGCGAGAATCAACTTGGTCCAAAATGACCCCAAGACAATTGCCGAGGTATGTAGACTTGTTCTTGCTTGGACCTGGTTGTTGTCCTCTTTAACTAAGTTTTGAATTCTATTGCACATCAGCGCAATGAAGCTTTAAGACAATTATCCGAGCAGGACAAGGACAACAGCAATGACCAACCTACGCAGGGAGAGCCAACGGCTGGCGCGAGTTTCAACAAACAGGTAATTGAAAATATGTGGCTGTTAAGAGCCACTCATATGCCAAGCAAAAAATTGACGGGGTCAATGGTGCTTCCGGTTATGATTGACCCCAATGATCAAAAGCGGTTCATTGCGCTCAGTCCAGATCAGATTAACCTCTGGGCCAGAGCAATGGTGAGCCGCATTGTTTTTTGTGTCTAATGCAGCTTTGGACTGATGTTGATGTTTGTATATCAGGCTACCAACACCGAAGTCACTGTGGACAACCCGCCAAAGTCTCCAGCTTTCCGCTTCCAGACGAAAGCTGAATTCAATGGAACCGCCTCGGGTGTCCAAGAACAGGGAGGCAATGTGATTGAAGCCAGTGGGGGGACAAGAGAAGAGTCGGGTGGTCTTGCAAGAACTCCTGGGAGCATCAGAAGTGCTGCAGGTATCTCGTCGGCTGCAGGTTCTACTAACCACATCAACCTGTCTCCCATTCAAATGGGAATGGCGGCCTGGCCACCAGCTTCACCTTGGGGATGGGGCCCTCCTCCAAAATTCTATTTCCTGTACGGTGGGATGTCAAATGGCTTAAGTAACAACAATGCTCCCCCCGCCTGGCCGTCCAACTTATTGCTTGCAAACAATCCACATCTCGCTCCAGGAACTACAAACAGCGGCCCTGTTTCTTTGCCACCCGCTTCGGATGAAAATGTTGACATAAATGATTACTTGGCATTCTGCCACATCGATCAATCTTGTGATTTGGTAAAAAAGGCGCTAGTCGATTACGGGATCACTCATTATCAAGAATTTGAAAAAATCAAACCCAAAGAGCTCGAATCACTCGGTGTTAAAAAAAGCAAAGCAAGATTGCTTGTCTCTAACACCAAAAAGTATGTGCGTACTCTCAAAAAGCGCCATCTCAACAACTAAACAACTATCTCACTCAAAACAAGGATCGAAGTTGTCCAATCTCTTCTAAGCGGTCTTGGGTGTTTCATGAAAAGTTTTTTTTTGTCTCAACAACTAGTCTCACTCACTCAAAATAAAGATTGAAGTTGTCCAATTTGATCAAAGGTTGAAATCTCATCTTTATTTTTCTGTCTCACCAACTAGTCTCACTCAAAAAACAAAGATTGAAGTTGTCCGATATCTTCAAAGTTGTCTCTGATCTCTGCCAATTGTTTCTTTGATCTAATTAGTCTCTAAGTTTTCTTGGCTCTCTTTGAACAGTGTCTTCAATCACAGTAGTCTTCAACTTATTGAAATGACAAAGAGACACATATGCTGTCTGTTATATGAGAAAAAATAAAGGTGATTGTGCAGAGATGATGAATAAGGATGACAAAGCAATTCAGGTGCAAACCCGGGCTAAACATTCAAGACCAATGATACCAGCTCATTCCTCTCAGCCCGGTTTCTCCGATACCAGCTCATTCCTCTCAGCCCAGTTTCTCCGATATCAGCTCACTCCTCTCAGCCCGGATTCTCCAGGCCAAGTGTTCATGTCAACACTGGGAGGTTACGTTTTCAGTAACAAAAAATAACAAAAACGTAACGGAATTGTGGCCATTAGCGTTACAATAACCGCAAAAGCCTTTCCATTACGTTTTCTTTTTCCTTTTTTCCGCTTTTTTTATTGTTTTTACGCTATCCACCACAATTAAGTGTGGATAACGAACACATAACGAGGGGCTTTACCCTCACACAATGTGGATGACGTGCTGTTTGCGTTGTTTTCTTCCGTAACGAGGGGTAAAATCCCTCTTGTTACGTTACTCACCGGTCAAAAAAGATCGCATTCTGGATAACGCTAATGTTGTTATCCAATGCGCTGGGAAGTTATGTTACGAAAATCCCTCCGGATATTGTAACGTATGTAACTTCCCAGTGTTGTTCATGTTTTCACATACAAATGACAAAAATAGGGAATTGATTCAATGTGCTTATCCAGAGGCGAGTTTGATTGTATCTACAATGGTGATCATTTCAATTAATGAGATAACCGCAACCAATAAAAGGTTACGTGTCAAGACATCAGTAAAAACAAAGTTGATGAAACTTTCAATAACATCATAGTCTTCTTTGCCACCGGTAAGCAGATCTTCGTTTCGTCTGAGAGTTGACTTGTATACCGAGAACCCTTTCTCAATAGGGTTCAAATCAGGAGAGTAGGCGGGCAGATGTAGCAAAAGGCAGCCTCGGGCTTCAACAATTTCTTCAATCCGGCCGTAGTGATGGATTTGTGTGTTGTCCATGACAAGCACACTTCGGGGCCCTGGAAATGGGTTCATTGATGGCATCTGGGCCAAACAAATGGGGTCAGTAAACCAAAAACAAATAACATGAGTAAATGAACACTCACTAGGATATGCTCAAGGAAGAATTCGAAGTCTGATCAAACAACTGATTCTTCCTGGACCATATGTGCAACCAATCCAGTCGACGAGATTGCTGGAATGATGTTGTATCCATGTGTGCTCCTCTCACGTGGAACTCGAGGGGTTCTTTGACCTACTGGTGCCCAGCCTTGTGTCCTTGAAACCACCTCGAGCGAGACCCCTGATTCATCTGTAAAAAGATTCAAATCAATGAAGAGTTATTGGGAGTCAGATATCAGATAAAAGAAGAACTTGCCTGTGGATACAAGGCAAGAGGTTGGTACACAGCTGACACGTGCAAGGTAATGCGCTCTGGCCTCTGGATCTTGACGTCAATTGACCGTTGTGATGGTCTTCTTAGACATTTTCAATTGTTTGTGGAGGGTTTTTGAGATCATCTTCAAGCTAGCAGAGACTCCTTTCTCTTCAAGTAAAGCATTCTGGATTTCGTCAAGATACACTGTTGGTTTCTCGGTGACCATGTGTAGGATGTATTCTAGATCTTCAGACTCCAATTTGAAAGGCCGGCCTTGGGTTTGGTAAGTAGACGGATCACACACAACAGCTCGGGTTCTCTCGTACAGGTCTGTCCATCGACACAAGGAATCTTTGCTGACTGTACTGGCCAACATCGTATTGATCTCGTCCAACAACTTTTCTCTCTTTGCCGCTCTAATGACCTCATATTTGAAATCGGCCGAGTAATTTTGTTTGGCCATGGGACCTGATAAAATTGTCAGTTTTTGTTAGCTGAAGTGCGGCATGGAATATTATCTTTAGAGCATGCTTACAGACCAGGTTGATTGGGCAGCCCAAGTGATTGAGTGGGTTTGTTACTGAATGTTACTGACAAATATTGTGGGTTGGCTTATGTATGGGACAGGGGTGGCAAGGCCAGTGAGTGACTCGCTCAGCTGGGGGAGCCCTAGGTCCGTGCGCCAGGGAGATGTTGAGTTCGGGGGGAAAAAAAATTGGTGCGGTAAAAAAAAAAATTGTGGAAAAGCGCAATAATTTGCACAATAGTTGTAAAAGAAAATCTACTTTTTTTGAAAACTTTAATTTTTTGTTTGAGTGAAAAGTGAACACACATAGGGAAAGTTTGGAACATGAAAAGAATGATTATAAATGAAAAATATTGATCCAAAAAAAGTTTGAGCATGGTGGGTGGACACCCTGCAGTCAAAATCAGTAGATTTCAGTACCAGAATGCCACATTTCTTGATGAATGACCCCCTAGGCAGCCTTTTTAAACCACCAAGTAGTCATTTTTTTCCAAATTTTCACTTCTTATTATTCATTCCAGATCTCATACAATCAATTCAAAGATTCCATCTTTTCCTGAAGGAAATATTAGAGCTGTCAGGTTTTATGATTTTTGCATTTTTACTTTTTACAAATTTTATAATCTTGTTAATCATTATTGTTTTTTTCATATTCATTCTTTGAGACCCATTTTCCACCATTCCACCAACTCTTGTGACTTGAAATTTTTGGGTTACTGGTGTGGAGCTCAAAACAGATGGCTATAAACATCTGGGAGGAGACTGTAAATGCTCATTGGGAGGGGTTCCTCCTGACGGTGTGGCCTCTGCCTCTCTAGGCCAAGGGGGGGGGGGGGGGGATTTGTTTTCTTATCTTTTTTTTTGAAAAAAAAAAAAATCCACTTGCCAGCAATTGTCAACCAGTAAAAGGGCGGGTAGCCGCGGATACCCGCCAGCGCCAGCGGATGTGGATGGCTGATTCTGCTGAAATTGTCAGCAGATATCTGCATCCGCACGGATATACGAATTTGAAGCGACCATCTCTACCAGCAACACTGGGTAGTAGTTATATTACCCGTCATGGTAGTGTAAAGATAAATTAGTGAGTTTCCATCATTACTTTTTGCATAATGTTTGGGAATCATTTGCACATTACATTATCCATTTTGTCTTGGATTTTTTCCATGCTTATTAAACTATCAGCAACCTGTAGAATTTGTTTTCTTCAAAAAAAGGGGCTTGGAAAAACGACTCCCAATTTTTAGTCGCCGACTCCCAATTTTTAGTTGCTGACTCCCAAATACGGTGGTCGGACATCAATTGGGAGTTGTTTTCCCAAATGGATGGTCAACTTTGGGAGTCGGCCATCCAATCATGTTTCTTTTTTTTGTATTTTTGGGAGTTGGCTCCCCAAACCACCCCTCATGGGGGATTTGGGAGTCGCTCCCAGATGACCGGAAGAAACAACAGCCTCATTGGCCGGAAGGAATTCCTTTTGGTCGATGAGGCTGTTAAACCTCATCAATTGGAAGGAATCCCTTCCAGTTGATGAGGTTGTTACACCTCATTGACCGGAAGGAATCCCTTGGCACTAAAATATCTTACAATTTACTACATAAGGAGGCCTCTGCCTGCCAGTTGTTCCCTCCTCATCCCACTCAGGACACATCTCAAGATACAAACCTGTCACAAATTACACATATTTATTACACAAGTGTTTCCACACATATTAAATTTTACAGATTCAATATACACACAGTTCAGTTTCACAAATATTACACAGAAGATCCAGTTCCCTGTTCCATTCTTGGTTGAAGCATAGTGCTCCTAGAAAATTTGGGCCCAAGAGCCACCTCTATAACATTACATACAAACACATACAGTATTCAGATTCAAGCCCAATCTGAAGTATCAATACATAAATACCAGGAACCACATCACCAGCTTGAATAACACTGCACAACACAATCAACCCTCATCAATAACAATTTCATCCTTGAAGATAATTCTTTTTATACTAAATAAATTTCCAAGCTTACCTTGGTGGTCATGTTTCCTGATAATACAAAAAGGCAGGGCTTGCACCTCCATCCCTTTGAAAATTCAGCAAAGAGGGTTTCACAATCACATTTTGAGTCTTACAGCGGTGGGGAGGAATCCTCCCAGATTTCAAGATTTGTAGGGAGGAATCCCTTTATCCTGGATTGTTTTGTGTCATTGAATCTGATTCCAACTGAAACTTAATCTGATTCCAACTGAAACTTAAGTGAGTCTCTCCTTGATGAAGGGACTTATGACTTATCAGGATCTCTGGCATTAGAATTACAAATATTTGGACTCTACTTTTGTCACAATCTGTCGAAAGAATACATATCATCAGCCATAATTTGTGACACCTGTCAAACTGCACCAACCATCCTTTCACCCACGCTGCATCAACCATATCTGCATCTGACATCCAAACTCTAATCATTATCAGGTGAAAACTAATCTCATTGCCTATCTCATCTGTAAATTTGACCTAAACACCTCCAATATTTCTTCTCCAGTCTCCCAATTACTCATCAGTAGTTGACCACATTCTTGAGTCTTCTGCCCAAATCTTCCCAGTATGATCACAAAACCTCAAAGAATCAACATCAAATACCAATTGATTAACAATCAATTAAACCCAAACTGAAATCTAGAAGGTCTTGTTGTCCTCCAACATGGTGAGAGATGCAGTTGTAGCAATACATTCTTAATGCTATGGCTAAGTTTTTTTTTGTTCTTCATTCCTCATCCTAATTTTTTTTCTGTCTGGATTACATTCCAGTTGTCTGTCTCCGTGGCAACGCTGGGCCAGCTACGCTAACCGTAGCGGTTAGCGCAGCGTAACGTAGCGGAATTCCACGCAACTTTAGCGTAGCGTAGCGGGATTCCGCCACGACACCGCTAATGCTACGCGTGTGGGCCGCAAAAAAGGGCCACTACGCTGCGCTACAGCGCTTTTTAGCGGTTTTTGGCCGCTTTTTCCGCTAAAAGCGCTGTAGCGCAGCGTAGCGTAGCGAAAAACCGCTACAAAAACGCTAACACTACCGCTTTTGGATGAAAAAAAAGCGCCGCTACGCTACGCTTTTTGGGCCAAAAGCGTAGCGTAGCGTAGCGGCCCACCGCTGTCCGTGGTTTATAACAGCTCTTGGGTATGCTTTGTTTCTTTTATTTGATTATGGTATTGTTTTTCTTAGACTTATCTAATTGTCTTTTTTTGTTAGCTCTGGTTTTCCTTTTTAAGCAATTTCAATCAAGGGTTCTTTAAAATACAACTTGTGTGAAACATCCAAGCCCCGTCCCCAAGATTCATTTTTCTTATTGACTTGTTGAAGCTTGACTGTACATTTTTGAAAAAATTTATGTAGAAAACAAACAATAATTGGATTCCAGTTGTTTTGGTGTTTTGGTGAGTGTACACAGACAATTGTCTTGTTATTAGGGGGTATCAAATATAACCAAATTTGCCATTACTTCATTGACTGGTTTGAAAAAATCCACCCTTTTTAAAACATGTTGGTCATCCATTTATAACCACTTTAGGGGCACATTGAGGCAAAAAAAAGTTTTGGGAAAAGTGACTGGTTTCTAATGGTGGATTTCTGTTGCGAATTTCTAGACATACCAATTGGTGGTAGCAAAAGATAAGAAGCAAAAAAATCACTAGGAATTATCAAATATGGGCAAATCCACCATTATGAAATTGACTGTTCTTGAAAAACCCACCATTTTTCAAGGCATCTTCATCATTCCCCTCTGGGGACCCATTGATGGAAAAGAAATATTTTTTGATAAATGACTGGTTTCCAAAGGTGGATTTCTTATATTTGATACCCCCTAAGACTTAAGGTTAAATTCTGTTTATTTGAAACACCTTCACAAGCAATTTTCACAGTTTTATCACCAGGAAAAAAACAATGCTCACCAGATGACATGTGACATCATGTAGCTCCAGTGCTATTGCAATCCAACTATAATGACCCCTTTTTGTGCTAAAGGGGGGCTGAACTAGAGTTGAGCTGCGTACATGATGGGGGGTAGCATGATTAACTTAGCCTGGAGTCACTTGTTATCAAGTGAGCATTGTTTTTTTTCCCAGTGTATCCCTTACATAATCTTGTCTGCAGACACTGATGGCACACATAGGAAGTCTTTTTGAAAAACTCAGGTTTTGCATTTTCCAACTTGATCACAGATGACATCAATGTGAAGTGGGATCAGAAAACATTTAATTGAGATGGAGCTAAGGAAGCAAGAAAATCAGAAGCAGAATGGAACTGGAAGACATTGCAAAGGTTTAATGGCAAGCACTTTCTGGCCAAAAATATATCTTATATTTCTTGTGAACACTCACAAACTTTGCTACTTTAGGTTTTTGGGATGAACGGGAATGCAAAGAAATGTACCACAAAATTGAACCAAAAACAAAACCACAAGTTGGTGCATGGGTGATCCATGTTGGTGTTGAAATATAGCCATTAAAGAGACTGATGTCAGAAGAAACAAAAAGCAGAAAAACAGAAAAACACGAGTGCACATGCCGTCTTCAAGATATCAGTTGATGCTTGTCACACAGTGTCTGCGATTTTCTTTTCCTCGATAAAGAAGTCCTGTTTATAGAATGTCATCCAAGCGCTGATCCTTTGGCTAAAGTGTAGCGAGGTGTGTACCGAGGGGTCCAAGCAGTCTTTGCTAGGGAATATCTCTGCAAAAGAGGTACGGACCCATCGATGGAAGGGGGCATCCTGCGGCTTTACCGATCTAGCCTTCACCAGATATTCCCGCAAAGTATGAAAAATGTCGGCCCGAGAGGTATTACCTAGACATTTGTTCCGGTAGTGCTTTAGGTAAACACTGATGAATTTGAGTTGATCTTGAACAAGCTCATGATCCTCCCTCTGTTGTATCACTGTCTCCTTGATCGGGTGATAGAAAGTGTTGAGGTGATCCAACATGTAATAAACGAGTTGGTATTCTATTCTTTTTTGGAATGGTTGTGTTTCTATTTCGGGCTCTGCAAGAATTTTATGAGCTCATTCACCAAGGAACTTATTGAGAAATCTGCTTGGTGGTTTGCTTCCCTTGCGAGGTTCATTCGCCCTTGGTCGAGAGAGTCGACCTGGCGAAATGCTTCGCGAATCTTGTCAAATCGTTCACTCGCCTTTCTTCCCGGAGGGTAGTGATCTGGTGCATGTGAAATTATAGTATCCATAACAGTGCGGACAACCTGTTCCTGATCTCCAACCGGGAGGGCTGCGGTACAGGAACCATCAGTCTTGCTAAGCAGGGTTTCACATCAACAAACAAAACTCACCCTTGATGGATCCGTGAAGTTGTTCCACCGCCGGGGCAGATGTTAAAAAATCTAACTCCGGGACTACCGAGCCAACGGCATCGAAATACTGGTGCCCCCACCTGCGGAAAAGCAGCTGCACATGGAGCTCGGCCATCTCTGCAATACTTTTTGCCTTGAAGATTTCAACGCTGTCGATCAATTCGGATGGAAGTAGTTCGTGTTGAAGAATGTAGTGCCTCATGAGAAGGACAGCTCCCAGGAATTTAAGCTGAAAATCTGTTTCTGTGCTCTTGGGCACTCCGTCAACAGATTTGAATCCCTGAATCCGTTTTTGTAAAGAGTTTAAACTGGCAATCATTTCAGAGTCTGTGGGATCGTGTCCCCAAAGTGACTCTTTCTCAGCCGACTGCATGATCAAGTCGCCAATGGGAATTTTGCTTTGTCTTAGAACGAACTCAAGATACGTAGGCATTCTTTTCGTCCCATCTTCGGTGAGTTCCCCGGGTTTGCTTGAGAGAAGGTGTGACGTATCGCTCGGGACTGTTGTCCTTGAAGCAGGCAAACTGCTCTTATAGAGCAGCGCATCGGAGACAACTGGATCGTCTCTTGTCTCATCCTTTGACCTGAAAATACGTAGATGTTTTATAAATGGAAGATTGATTCGATGATTCTTGGTGCTTCGGGAGGAATCAGTTTGAGCGGTGGTGAGCTGAGCATCCAATCTGGGCGGTAGGAAATCGAGGGAAGTCTCCAGACCACCCATCTTGCGCACTCTATCCTTAGTGGGTGTCCAAAGACCACGATGAAGCGTCTGTAGCTCCAATAGCATTTGAGAGAATCCGTCAAAGGATTTTGACTTGAGTCCCTCGATCTGACGCTCAATCTGATTACGATCAATTACCATCGATCGCAGCTCATCTGTGTGAAACCAACATCATGAGCAAATTTTTAGCTATGAGAGATAGTCGCCAGACCAGGCATTATAACATTGATGGAAAAAAGCGCACCCTTCCTTTCCTCCTCCCCCTGGGGAATCGTCCCATACTCGTGATGATGACCCCAATTATCCGTGTGCTGGTCGAGCGTCTTTGGCTTGGTGGATTCTATGGGCAAACTAGCAATCCTAGATTCTGCGGGATTTAAATCCGATAGTGGCTCTGACAGAGCTTAAGATGAACGCTGAAAAGATTAACAGTTGCAATGCAGAGTTTTCCACAGACCGCAAAGCGAAACATTGCCTAACACGTACTAAGAGATTTTGCCGCGTCTGCTGGTGCATCAATACTGGATAACACCAGTTGAGCCGCGCCTGTCGCGTAGAAGAAGACGCAGAAAAACACTCTATCTGATAGGACCACCATCTTTGTTGCGCTGGGAACAGCTTTAGTCTTGCAAGAAGGTAAACGCTTGGATGGGTATATCTTTCGATGAGGTGATAGTTGCCAGAGGGCCTCGATTGGTCGACATTAAATAGCACTCAGCAGTCCAACCGGCACCAGGGAGGCTGCCGAGTATTTCTCCAAGTACACAGTTTGAAGAACGAGACAAAGCATATTGGCCGCAAAGAAGCAAAGCTTGGGGGTACGTGGGCAAAGGATGCCGACTCTTGTGGGCTGTATTAGGGAGACAAGGAATGATACATGAGTCTGAGACATGCGATGATATTTAACCAAGGGTACCTGAGGTAAGATGAAAGATCGTATTCTTGGCACAAAGAGATAGGTTGTTCTTGAAACTAGCAAGTGATCCAGCTGATGCCCATGTAAGGGAAATAGGAAGGAAACGGTCAAACATTGGAAGCTGTCTGATCACATGTTGGGATAACACCTCCTGCAACTACTACATACATACATACATGTTTGTGTAGACCGAGTGTTCATTTTGCTCATATTTATTACAATTGTTTCATTCAAAAGATGAAATTTTAGGCTGAATCTTTCATCCCCTTGATGAAGATGATGGGGTCTTGGCTATACGACTCTCAAAGGTTGGAGTTCTGACTCCTATTTTTGGGAGACGTTGAAACAAGACATCCCCGGCCGGTCGCAGGACCCGACTTTGGATCCGGGTGATTCTGGGATCGATGTTCCTCCAAAACCTGGTGGAGGTCTTTTTTTGGGGAGTGGGTTGTTCATGGCTGGGAGGCATCCCTTTCGGCTGTTGTCAGATTGATCAATCCCAGAGCACTTCTGTTTACTTTCGGCTGTTGTCAGATTGATCAATCCCAGTGCACTTCTGTTTAATAAACACCTCCCCCCCCCCCCCCTCCCACCCAATCCCAAAGTAAGGCCATTCAAGTAAATAATGGCTGTGATGGTCAACAAAAAGCAAAATGAACGAGTGACGGTATGATATTATTACAACTGAAATGATGGCAGGTTGAGTTTTTATTTTTTCCAAGCGGACTGTTATAAGCTGACTGGTGGTTTGTTGTGGAAGATCGTAAGACGCGTTCTTAGATGTTTTTTCGGATAAGTGAATAATTGTGTTTGCGTGTTTTTGATAGGAGATGAAGATCTTTAATCGAAAGATAAGATCTGTTGACGATCGAACTCGATCAGAAAGCTCTGCGTTTTCCGAATCGTCCCTAAAATAAAATGTAAAATAAGAATGATGATCAATAATGATTGTTTTTTTGTTGGGGGGACGACTGCTGACCTGAGACATGAATGACGTTGAAGATCACTGGAGTTTGAGGGTTGATTTGGTTGATGAATAGTAAGCTCGCTCTAACTTTTGTGACTTGATCTCTCTTGCACCTGAGGATTAAGTTGGACGTAGTGGGTGAATAATACTTGACTGTAAATTCAAAAGAAGAGTGTGAATTCTGTTCTCTGATGAATTATATGAAGAAGAAGAAGAAGAAGAACATTACCAGTGAGATCAGCACCAGCTTCACCGGCCCCAAGGTCACCGAAGTTGAGTTGGATGGATTGCCGGATCAAGTCGATCAGACTCTTTTCGTTAACTTGCTTGGTTCCTGATGGACCTGACTGATGATTAGACCCGATCGTCGAGCTCTCGTGGGGACCATAGATTAACTGAATGAGTAAGTATCTGTTCTAATATGTTTCCTCGTCAGTTCTTTGTTCTCCATATATGATGAGACTAGTTGACTTACTTTGAATCTGACCATCTTTTCTCCAAGGAGAGAGATATGTACATAAAGAGGGCGGGCGTGCTTGAGTATGTATGCGCCCCCCGCCCCCCGCCCCTATCCCCGAAGCTACACATTTCTTATTTTAGGGGTTTACCCTTCCCCAGTGCTGTGGGCCAGTCACCAACACTGTTCACCCTCAACCACCAATTCTCAACTTGTATTTCGATAACCATGAGCTCCCCAAGCCTGAGATCGAGGAACAATACAACAGCAACAGCAAGAGAACAACCGATGAACATCAAGGAAACTCAAAACAATTCAAGCTTGGTCAACCCAGCCAACGCAAAGTGGTTGATCCTTATCATCCTATTCCTGACAACGACCATCGGAACCTATCGATCATTCTCGATCTACTCGAGAGACAATCCAGACATACCGATCCACCAACTCACCCGAATACCACTCTCATCACTCCTATCAACCCATACGACCGACATCAGATCGACTACGACCACCCTGCCGTACTTTGCCAATAAATCCAACTTCCTCAATCAGAAGTTTGTCAAGCTCGGTTGGGCTTGGACTACCTTCGTCGTCTGGTTCCATGCGATCGCCATCGCTACTTGTTACTTCGGTCCTCCACATCCCAATCAACAACAACAGCAAACACAAAATTCTCGATCACATCCCTCCTCTCATGTGCCAAGGATCTTATCCTTGCATCTCCTCGCAACCCTGCTCTGGATCTTCCTCACTCAGTGGTGTTTCGGAAGTAGCCTTATCGAAAGAGTTCTCATCCTCTCTGGCGCGAAATGCATACCAAGTCTCAAACCATTTCACTCTTCTGAAACAACACCAACAACACCTACCACGCTCGAAAACTTATATTGTCAACATAGATGGGGTAGAAACCTTCCTGGTTTAGATAATGTAAAAAACAAATAGTCTCTTATCTCAAAACAAACGAAAGTATCATAGAACTGATAGAGTGTGATCGTTTATTTTAGTTTATTCTATCGACTTATAAGCCATATTGGTCAGAAGGAATCGATGTATCAGGACACGTCTTTCTGCTCACATTCTCGATCCTATTGATCGTCTCAAGTCTGAGCCCATCATTGATCCATCTATGGAGGACGACGACGAAGAAAGTCAACAACCAAAACAACAACAAGGAGGAGGAGAAAGATCAGCAGGACGAGACCGTACCACGAAACTACAGACTGGCGATCTATGCCAACCTCGGATTGTTGTTTGTATGGTGGTGGATGCTGTTGATGACTAGCCTATACTTCCATGGTCCTCTTGAGAAATTCTCTGGCTTCGTCCTCGCTGGTCTCGCTTGGTTCTTCGTCGAAACTAGCGTTGCTCGTCTTCTTGGTTAATCTTCTTCTCCCGCCCCCCCCTCCCCTTTTCCTTTAACCTGCGACTATCATCATTATTGTTGTCGTTAAAATCCGCTTCTAAACATGTTTGTAGTTTTATCTATATAGAATATATATATACTCTTAATCTTCTAATTATTATAGAAAGAAAAGATTGGTAGCCTTAGAAAGAAAACTTGAAGAATCGTTGATGTGGACTTATTTACATACATAACTTGGACTTAGATTGGAGGAGTTGTCATAGAAGTTGGACTGGATTAAATCACTGGAACTAGAAATTCATACTTGACTAACCAGCTTACAAACCAAAAAAAAGTGGCATATCAAACAAAAAAACAGAAACATGAAAGATTGGTTGATAGATGTATGTAGGTGCTCCCTAGTTAAACTGGTGTGGATGCAAAATTTCAAAAACTTGTCTTCCTCATCAAATTTTCCATCCACCACAAATTGTATGGCATGACTTTGTAGATTAAGAGGTTGACCAGATGGACTACATCAAAGAAGGGAGACAACCTTCTGCTTCCTGTACTCAGCACAGGTCATATCATGACACAATTCCCACATTTAATCTGGCAGCATCAACATCTCTCATTCACTCAAAATCTCCCATCTGAAATATTCTACATCAGAACCTGTTCCCTCTAATCATTACTCCCCTTCCTCATCCATCCATCCATCCATATTCACCAGAAACCTCAAAGAAACCAATCAATCAATCAAAAAACCATCAATTCAAAAGATACACCTTCCATTTTTCACTACCCCTTCATCAATTATGAAATGTCCTATACTAACATTTGAACATTGGAAGATGCTCTGCAATTTGGACAGGGGATGTTGGACATGATCAATCTGGTTATCTGACTTGAATACAATCTTTGATTTAGGCTCAATTTTGGAACAGACCAAGTGTTTTGAAAAGATCATCAAAGCTGAACCCTACCTTATATATTATGATGATGGAGTTCAATGAGTCTTGTTGTCTGGACTAGGTGTCTATGTCTGTATATAGATAATCCAAAATGAGTTAACCACCAAACTGAATTTTTTATGGGCTTCACATATGCAACAGAGATAATGATATATTGCTTTGAATTTCTTGTTGAGTTTTTCAGCTCTCTGGTCTACTCTTCCCCAAAATCACTCCTTCCTTCACCTTTCACACTTGCTTTTCTCCTTCTTGAATCATCCCGAAGTAGACTGAATTATGGTTCCTCATAGCTAGTTTTATGTTGAATTTCATGTGTTTGAGTAGTCTAATTAGAACTTCCAATTGCAATCTTGTCAACAACTCTTGTCTTTATGATTGACCTCTTTCTTTTACTATCCTCATTATTTGATTCTTAAAAATCTGATTAGTGAGAATTAACACCTCTCAGTATTTGTGGTTTAACTTTGGTTTTTTCTTGATTAATTTTCTGACATGACTAAAAGAGACTGAGAAGGCATGCTACATTATTTCTTTCAAGAACTCATGAGTTTATTCCTCTCAGTTTTTCATTCAAAACACCTTCTTTATTCATTTTTAACCCTCCCACATGTTGTGCACTTGTATTTAGTCTATTTAATCCTGGCTAGATACATGTGAATAAAAAACATTGGTTCTTTCATTCCTTTTCCATGAGCCTTTCCCAAAAAAGACCCCCCTGCTTTTTTGTGCCATTTTTCTCAAAATTCTTCAAAGTCTTCCCTTCTCAAGTCCAAAAATTCAACATTTCTCATGACAGGCAAAAAGGGAAAAGCCATGTGACTATTGTCCATGGTCACTGGACTACTAGCAAGGCCAGATGGGCCAGACATGCAACATGTCCCGCACTGACCTGCATCAAAAATCTACTCAGCAGATAAGATCAAGGATTCAAGGCTCATACTTTATTTTGCACCCATCTCTCATCTTGTGGATCTCCCCCTTTCTCTAATCTCTTCTTTCTCCCATATCTGCTTGTATTAGATTGACACATATAAGCACACAGCAAATCTGTAAAATTCAGGTGCCAGGGAAGAACAGTGAGGAATGGATTCAACTACCCACCAAATACTGATTCTTGAAATTGCCAAGATAAACCATGGTGGCTCAATCAAGAAGATATAAATGCCGATAATCAGGTCATGTTTTTGTATTTCTCATCTTATTCTCCAGCTTTCAACCTCATCAAGCATATAGGAAAACTTCCCATCAATATCTGCAGGTCTTCCGCATTCAATTAGCAGCCTTGAAAGCTAGATTTCCCAGCAAAAATCCAGACTTTTTTGGGACTAAATTGGCATCTGCGAGGGTCCCAGATTTGACAGGAAGTCCTCCACTCTGTTTTGGGTCCTTCAAAATACACATGATAACAGGTGGTAACTAGAAAAGGTTTTTGATTCACAGAGACACCAAGATTTTTTGAAGAAGTTGGGGAAACAAATACCCACTAAGAATTTGGCCCTTTCCTGGCAATTATGGATATTAATTCAAACCCAGTTTGATGAGATAAAAGCTGGTTAAAAAAACAAAGAGACAAATTTATTGTGCAGAATAAAAATATCAATAATGGAAGACTTCCCATTGCCATTTAGAGTGCTTTCTAAGCCCTCCCCAGTCCTAAATTAACACCTCAATCATAATTCCTAACAGCTCACACAAGAGCTATGTTCACAAGGCTTGTGAAACAATAATTTTTTATACCAAAAATTAAAATCTAGGGGGTGTAAATCAGAGACGGGAAGTCATCCAATGCCCCTTCATTGAGATGATAGATCTGAACATATGGCAACGGTGGGCCAGCTACGCTAACAGTAGTGTTACCGTGGTGTAGTGTAGCAAAAAAACACTACAATTAAGTGTAGCATTAGCACTTTTCTCCTTTTCTGCGCTAATGCTAAGCAAATGGGGCGCAAAACAGTGCTATTGTTTAGTGTAGCGTTAGCACAAGTCCCCCCATCTGCGCTAACACTACGCGCATAGGGTGCAAAGAAGCACCCGCTACGCTGTGTTACAGCAGTTTTTAGCGGTTTTTAGGTGTTTTTTGTTGCTAAAAACACCGTAGTGTAGCGTGACATGGTGTAGCAGCACCAGAGGCGCGCTAACACTACACCAAAAAATGGCTAGTTTTAGTGTAGCGCAGCGGCAGTAGCGGCGCACTAACACTACACAAAAAACAGCAGCTGTTGGTGCCGCTACGCTAACACTACATGGGCCCGTAGCAGCCCACCACTGCATATGGCCACTCACCAAAATACTCTCACTACAAAAAAATAAGGTAATTTGTATTTCCAATCAACCATCAAATGCTCCTTACAGTAAAACTTGAGACGATTGAGGCAATCATTCATTTATCAAACTCTTGTACTAAAACTGAACTCAAGACATCCATAGATGTATCACTTGAGCTTCTGGCCACACCTTTTATCAAAACAATAATTAATTTCTGCTTGTGTGATCTGGGGGCAGATTTTTTCTGCTTCCAGGAGGCCTGACATGTGGCCATGGTGTAGCAGTTGAGTGTGATTTTCTTGCAGTACTGGACTTGCATTGTGTTGAATTTTTGAGCTCAAGACAGGCGGATGATGAGGAGTTTGAGAAAAGTGGCACAAAAAAGCTGAGGGCCTTTTTGGGAATGGCTCACAGAAAATGAATGGAAGAACCAATAATTTTCATTCACAGGTAGATAGCCGGATTAAATGGACTAAATACATGTGATCAAATTGTGGTTGAGGCAAATTGAATAAAAAACTAAGAGATAGAATAATTTGATATCTTGGAAGAAACAATCTTTAGCCGGACTTCTCAGTCTCTTTTAGTCAGACAAGAAAAGTTAATCAAGAAAAATCAAAAATTCTAGCACAAATATTTAGAGTCGTGAATTCCAAATAATTGGTTATCAAATAGTGAAATAGAAAGAAAGGAATCAATCAGAAAGACAGGAGTTGTTGATAAAATTGCTGTTGATAGTTCTAATTAGACTCCAAGAAATGCATAAGATTCAACTCAAAACCAGCAGTGAAAGACTGCAATTCAGTCTAAATCAAGAAGATTCATGAAAGAGAAAAGGGATAAAAAGTAAGGGAAAAGAGTGTTTTGGGAAGGAGTAGACCAGAGGAGTGAAAAACTCAACACATTGACCTCTTTGATTGCATCAGGTTCAATTTTAATTTCATTTGGATCAAAACTTGGAAGGTACCAACCAGGCTTGACTGGGGGCACTGGGATAGCTGTTTTCCAGGTTCTTGTACACTATGCACCATCAGAGGCAGAAAGAAAGATCAACATATGGACCTCATCAACAGTTAGCATACCAACTGGTGTTCATGCCCTATCTTGAAAAACACAAATGGCTGAGAGGATCAGCTAGGGCAATGGGCATCCATCATAGCCTCATGTAAGTGCTTCCAGAGGACCCTCACACCTTGTCCTCAAACCCAACCAGCCCAATTGATTTCAAGCAAATTGCAACATGATATGATTCTATAATTTTGCAAATTATGCGCACTCATGGTCAATCACGCTGAATTTACACATGTGATCCAAAGTGCATCCAATCAGTGAGTAATAGCGCCAAGATGTCAGTCGGGGTCTTCCATGGGTGAGAATCAGTGACTTTGGTTCAATGATTAATTTTGCTCGAGTGGTCCCCACTCCAGTGAATTTATCTGGGGTCCTTCCCCTCGGGATCGGATGGATGTTCCGACCCCATGGAAAGTTAGAAACATTTCTAATGGAATTCTTCCCAGTCACCCCACTAGTTGGGAGCAACAGGAGCAGGAACAAGCTATCACCGCCACTGGCACGAGTAAAGGGTCAGCTCCGACCGGTCAGAATTGGTCGGACAATTCTGTGCAACCCTTGCCCGGGTGTCCGATCAGTTCTTGGCGGCAGACCGGACAGAGGCATCTGTATGGACACTGCCCGGTCCGTTCCGCCCGATCAGATCATCAGTCCATGGGGGCAGCAGTGACCTTCGGCAAGAAAAACCTGGGGCTTCAGTTGGTTATGTAAAAATTACATTGATCTCCAACCCTCCCAGTCTTTCTTGCCGGCCACTGCGCACTAACCCACAACAAAGGTGAAAGATTACACAAAGCCAGGTATGAGCCGTGAAAATCACAACATTTCCTATTGCCATGTGGCACGCACCACCTCAATTTTATGTTCTAGGGGTTCAAGCTGGTCCGTACTGCTGGTTGGCAGGCTGTGTATACAAATATATAAACCTCTGCGATTCAAGCGAGAACTCATTCTTCAGGAAAAAGCCAATCTGGAATCCTGGATAGCCTTTGTTGATCGACTTGGAATTTGAGCTGACTTTGGCCGACCGGGTATGATGTACCCGAAGGCCTCCACTCTCTCGTGGACAGAAATGGACTTTCCGACTTCCCGATGCAACTGGAATTTTGGTCATTTTGGATATTCTACAAATGGGAATTACGCATTTATGTACAGCCTTCCGGCAACGATTTCCACGCTTCATCTTCTCCAAGGCTGTGCTGTCACTGCCTTGCCACTGTCGGCATAGTCGGCATAAAGTTGGCACTTTTTAATGCTTTACATATCCCCTTCAGCTTTATGTATGCATCTAGGTATACGTATATATATGATTGCCAACGTAAAGGACTTGTCTGTGTTTATATAGAGGGGGCTGGCCCTCTGGTCGCTGCCTAGAAAATCGCGCCGCAAAGTCTTCAACCCACTCAACCATGATCTCATGGCAGCTGAGACCCTGTGGTCACGACCCAAGCCAACATAAATATATCTCGGGTGGAGGAGACAGACTAGGAAAACCGATACTACGTAGGGCATGGCTGATGAATAACAGGCTCAAGGGAAAGAACAGGCTCGCAGGAAAAAGAAGGTTCACCTTAAAATGTATTGCCAATTTTACAAATTCTGCTTGACAGCGCTCTGGATTCCCACTTTCGGAGCGACTGATGACTAGGGAGAATTCTACTCGAGTTGAACTTAGAGGATGTCCTTTTGAGGGCTTTTAATGCAAGTTGATGTGTGCGGTCCCGCATCACAGCCACCCCCTATCCGCATCACCAGCTTGCAGTTGTCGATCTGCATTTCTGTTACACTTTGTTCTCTTCTTCTCGCCGGGTGATTTGATACCATTGGCTACCATATTTCTGTATCAATCGCCTTTTCGAGATAGCATAGCCTTTCCCTTTGGTAAATCTTTATGCAGAAGTAGTTCTACATTCTCACTCTTGCCCTTCCACTGCCAGTTGCCTCGCCCCGTCACGGACTCGCCGTGCAACGCTACTCCAATCTCGACTCTCAAACATTTGGCTGTTACGTGTTTTCTATTATTCTCACCAGCTTCACATTCTGAGCAAATCGAAAATGAGATCCGAGGAAGAATCGGTTGAAGGCCTCCTAAGTAGCCTTGGATTGGCGGATTATTTGTCAATGTTGGTGCAGTCTTGATTTCAATGTATAACGGAACCAGATTTGTTCTCTATCGTTCGTCTACCTGCTGTTTCTAAATACGATTCCTCTTCTGATTCGGAATATAGATTCTACTCTGAAGGCTTCGACACAATCCAGTACGGTTTTCCTTCTTTCGGATACCTCGGGTTTATTTGCTTTGGTCGAATTTCTTATGTTACTGGTCTGGTTTTTCAGGGCCCTTCAAGATATTACAGAGGAGGACCTCGCACAGATGCAAGTCAAGCGTGGCCATCGACGAGTTCTTCAGAGGGCCCTAGGCAAAGGCTCATCAACCAATGGACTGCTTGATCCAAATTCAGCGGTGCCACAACGCCTGGAACTTGGCTGTTCGTCACACGCGTCGGTTTCCCGTAAGAGAATAGCTTCCCCTAGTCTCTTGGCCGTGGTTAATCTGTCCTATTTCTCAAGCTCCTCCTTTCTCTGGGGAACGGCGTCTTCTTGGTGCCCACACAGAACGCAGCGGTTCCTGGGATCACGAGTCGTCGCAATCCGACTCTTCCTTTTTTGCAGGCATGGACCCGAACCACAGCCCGTCACCAGCTACCTGTGACTCAAAAGGCATCAACCGCCCTGGTAAGTATTGTCTCACTCGCATGTCCCGACCTCTAGAATTTGCATAAACCGTGTATACGTCTTAGCATAGCGAAACTTGCTTGCTGAAGATTTCTACGTCCTTCACAACCCCTCCCTCAACATGCAGTTTCAGAGTCACTCCTTGAGTCCCCGGCTCAGTTCTTCCTGCCTCCAAAACCAAAGAGGCGGTATCGTCGTCATCCGAAGCCTGAGTAAGACCCTCACTTCTGCTTATCAATAAAGTAAGGAGAACGATGACATCTGACGTCTGGCTATTACCGCATTTACAGCTTGAATGCACCAGTAAGTATAATAGATTTGTGCAGAAAATATACAACAAATCCAACCCAAAAAAGTGCATCAACTGATATAGAAGAAACTGTTTGCAGAAAAAGCCACTCTCCGCCTACGTTATGTTCAGTAATACTGTGCGTGAGCAGTTGAAAGGCCAACAAATTTCGTTCACAGAAATGTATGTGTGGATGGCTTTCTTCGATAAAACATAAGTCTTCCTAATCTTAATTTTCTTTGCAACTTAGAGCTAGAACCGTTGGTGATCGCTGGAAGACTTTGGATCCAAGCTCTAAGGAGGTATGCAGATCTGAATCACGCTCCAAGGATCATACTGGCTGCTACTAACATTACCTCTCGAGTCTCAGGCATTTGAACGTGAAGCAGCGGAGCAAAAAGATCGCTGGACCAAGTCAATGCTCGCGTACAAGCGAACCCGAGAGGTAGGCCTCTGCGCTTTCTTGAATCGAACATTGGATTTCTGTTTTAACATCTGCTTCTGATTGAAAGTACGAGCAGTATCGTAGATATTTGCAACAATTCAAGGAAGCCCAGCAGGTTCGAAGTGCAGCAACTGAAGCTCGACCCAAGCGCTTCAGCGATTTGGACTGCAGTAGCACTCGAAGCTTTAATGCGGTGGAGTCGGAGGTCAACAATAATTCCTGTGAGGTATCAGATGTCGAGGATGACGAGCTGGTTCCTCAACCGTATATTCCCAGCTCAGTTCCATCATCTGAAAGGACAACAACGAATAATTCTGCGAACGATGTCTCTCCGTACCCGTCACCCGTAACAAGTGTGTCTGCGTACCGTCTACCACCACCACTTACGAACAGCTCTCGCATAAGGCCTACCATACCAAACCTTTGTACCTTGGACAAGCACTTGACTGAATCACAGACCCGCTTTTTCAAGTCCAACTGCTCCGTCCGCAATAATCCAGAACCTCGGTAAAATATCTAACTGCTTTCAAAATACACGCATCCACCAGAAATCAAAGAGCGTGGACTTGTCGCAATCACGTTAGACAAATTTGTTCGAGATTATCGAGGCAGTTACTTTCCAAGAATCAACCCTGTGTAACTGGGCAAAAACACCAGACAACACCATGAAATGGAGTGTAGCCATATGTCGCAGATTAGATTTCCACACTTCTAGCTTCACACTTCCCAGCAAAACGTAAAAACATTTTGAGAGAAAACACATCCTCCTTTCCACTAGGTGATCAATGCTCAAAAGAGTACAGCTTTTGTTTTTTTCTTCCTTCATAGCCGTTTCTGTTGTTCCTTGCATATCCCTTGGAAATTCCTTGTTCTGCGCCCTTATCCAACCTGGCAAATAAAATAGCTCAGATGTCGTTAGTAGAATGTGTAAATAGAATGGACACCACCACATCTCATGACGACACTCCTTTGGCATGCTTTTCTGTTTTTTTTTTCTGCTGTAAAATTTGTGTTCTTATTGCTAGGAATGCATTTCAATCTGCAGATATCCTCATGATTACCAGACTGCCAGGTATCTTATCTTGTGTTGATTTTTATACACACTGAGCCAAGGAGTCTTTACTTAAACCTTCGCTGAGATAATCCTAAGAAGTATTCACTCTGAGCGAGTCCTATTTTCTGTATCACGGAGGGTGTGAAGAAAAATCCTCAAGTTCAAATGTGATCCTTGAATTGCCTTTAATTTTTTAACTGCATCGTATTTTCATGCACTATTTTTTGCAGCCTGATCACTGCCTGTTACATTACAAGAGCCTGGATCTCTCAAATATATCCATACAGAGACCAGATTGTATTATTCTATTTATGATTGGACTAAGCTGTGAGATTTGTTTTAAAGAATGAAATAAATAATCAAGAAATGAATGTCATACACGTCAAGAGAATTGGGCTAGCCGGCTGCTGGTGCCAGCAGCACTGGGTCTATACTATACTTTACTATAACTGACCCTTTTCAGTATAGTAAAGTTTCCTCAAATTTCTATTTACTATACCAATACTATAACCAGTGTGTTTCCCACCAAGCGTGGTATAGTATAGGCCACTTTTTGTGGCTCCAAAATTCACCTATATTGCAAGTGCCTTGTCTTTATCAACCATGAAGTGTATCTATGAACTCCAGAGGGCCCTTCTATGGTCAAGAGACTCTCACAAGTAGCTTTAGATGTTTTTAGCAGCATCCAGGGCAGGTTATAGTAGAGTATATCACCCAAAATAATTTCCTGTTCTCCTCAGTTATAGTAAAGGGCCCTGAAAATCAGACTATAACCACACCCTTTATAGTAAAGTTGGAAATATATATACTATAACAATACTATACCAATAACCGTAAAGTATAGACCCAGTGTTGGTGCCAGCAGCCAACATGCAGGTTGTTTCTTTACTTAAAGTTTATTTCAACTCAACTTCAAGGCAAAGTTGCTGTGCACAAGAAGCTAGTTGGGAACAAGGCGGAGTTAAAGTAACAGTTCTGCTGAGATATGCTGGATGTCAACTGTTGGTAGTGATAGTTCAGTGGGGTTTTCTTGCAGTGATACATTGTATCTTTCTCGTCGGTCGGGGAAATCTTTTTTTAACACAGCAGCAGCAAGAATATCTATCTCTTGTGAGATTTATTGATCTTCTGTGATGAGCTGTGTGCGATGTGCCCAAAAGACAGGCACCATGTTGCTGCACCATGACTTGCCTCATGGTGGTTTGGAGGTTGAGCAAGGATTCGGAAATGCCGCCCCCCGCGTGCGCAGGCTTGCTCCCCACGGGGTGTGCATATTCAAAATCAGAATATGCAATTTCCCGCTGCCGACTTTTGATGGAGCACAACAAGTCGATGGTCAACAGGAACAAGTGCCCACGATTACAACCACTCCATCTTCATCAAGTCTTGCCACATACAGAAATTTCAAAGCGCTTGTTGGGCACCATCGGAAATATTGATATCTGCTGAAGATGAAGACCAAACGAAACAAATCTAACCGAAAGACCATGAGAGTCTACAACTCAATTTTCAAATTTCGGGAACCTTATCAAGTGCTTTGTTCGTCAGTCTGCTCCTCAACATCACCAATCAGTAAAGAAAGTTGACATTTTTTTAATCCCCTAGTCGATGCCGATTTCGCTGTCACTGTGACTACTCAAAAGATGGAAGTTCAGAGTCGATTGGCAGCTGTTCTTGGTGGAACTGTTAAACCAAGTTGGCATTTAACCCGTTTATCAACTCATTCCCTGACCCATGCTGATCCGATATCATACCGAATTTTAATGTTGTGGAGCTGATGTGTCTCGGCTACCTTTTTGTCTTTAGTGATTACGCAGTGTTCAATCCATCACTTAGTGAATTTGGCATCTGATGGAAGTCAAGTGGCTCAAGAAGCAGTAGACCTCGCTCGTAATTTATGTGAGCGAAGGAAGTGTAAACATGGGAAAATTAAAGCAAGCTCGATCGAATGTATCAAAGGTATCTTGGGCGATACGGACAATCGACTACGCTACATAGTTTGCACCCAGGATCCTCACTTTCGCACATACCTTCGGGAAAAGATCATTGGTGTACCTATCATCTACATCAATCGGAGTGGAACCCTCATCCTTGAAGAAGAAGGGCCAGCAACCGAGTTAAGGCGCAAACAGGTAAGATAATTAATCCACTCCAAGCTTGCTCCAGATTCCCCATCTCATTAAATTTCTGTTCTTCCCAGTTGCAAGAAGATAAACTACACGTCCCGCCAGAAGAACTAGAACAATTGAAATCGACCGACACTGGACCCGACTCAGGCCTACCAGCTCAACTCATTCAAGGCCCATCCACAACCAATCCACAACAAACACAGTCTTCAGACACACTTTCAAACGGCCAAACTCACTCGGCGCATAAACTTGAAAATAAACTGCTTAAAAAGAAGAAACGAAGATCAGGAGGTCCCAATCCACTGAGCGTCAAGAAGAAAAAATCATCTGCCTCAAACAGACGAAGAATCCCTCAAGAGAAATCGGCTTCTAAGAATACTCCCAATCAGAAAACAAGCTCCAAAAGCTCTCGCAAAACTCCCCCTGGAAAAAATCTTTGAGGGTCACATATGGCCCTGTACGAGGCGGCAGATGAAAACCAACCGGGCTATAATGTGGCCCATTTTGCCGCACTGGAATCTTCCTGTTCAGATCTTAACCTTTATTCAGCTTGTACACTCAGATCTTGACCAAAGCAATTAACGCTCGATTATCTATCTATGTATATACTGTCTGGGATTCACCCAACATTAATGTGAGTTGGTAGGCTAGAAAGGGTACTGCCACATAAACTTTCACCCATGACATCATATGGAGAAAGATTACTTAAATACAAATGAAGTCGTCATTGTATAATATAAATCTTACATGCATATAATACGTCATCAGCTAAGTTAACCCACCGAATCTGCATAATCTTACTTAATCCACAAGTTAACGAATCAGTCGTGACACCCTAGGACGGTCATTGGGAGTTGTTGCCTCGAACATCTCTATAATATCACAAAACCCCGGGGTTCGGGGGTTCTGCTTAACCTCATCCCGAGTCCTGAACCCCGGGGCTTGGATTCGGGCCAAGCCCTGAACCCCGTACAAAACCCCGGGGTTCGGGGGTTCTGCTTAACCTCATCCCGAGTCCTGAACCCTGGGGCTCGGATTCGGGCCAAGCCCTGAACCCCGTGGTCGGGGCCAAACCTTAGCATCACGCGTGGGCGTGAAACTTATTCTCTATTTCTTGGATCTCAAAACACGCCGACTTCAGAACTCTTCAGAATCCAGTGCTTAAAGTTTTGTGTTCCGTGATTCCGCGCGTCGACACGGCGGCCTACATACGTACAGCCAGAAGATCTTCAACCTTATCTGTACATGGATTGTATACATGGACGGGTTCAAGTAAGGTTGCCAGTTTGACACACAAAAAAAGGAACTCGAAAATTCACGGAATTTCAAGTTTCAACCGTAATTCCAACTTCATCGACAATCATCTCACTCTCGGCCCATAGAATTGGACATCTGGTTATTGGTAGGTCGGCCATGGGTTCACCCTTGTGATAACTCCGTCCCTTGAACATCCCAAAAGATGCTTATAGGGGTTCATTTTTAAAGGATCATGTGCTGCTAGGGCTCATAAGAAGGTAACGCAACGCAGTTGTCACATGAAAAAAAAAAGTGATGAAGCGTATGCTGGATTTCTTGTGTATGTGTGAGAGTCCATTAGCTGGAGTATCACTTTAGGGACATTCCAAAGCCGCGTATTGTAATCTTCCCAACTGAGGAAGCTGCACCGCTTGAGCCTGGAGTAGAGAAGTCATGGAGATGGAGGTTTCTGGGATCATTGGACCAATGACCCTCGAGACTAGCAGATGTGTTTCATCCGAATTTGTCCCTTGTCAAAGGGTCTTGGTGTGCCGCCGTATCCTATGGAGGCCAGTCGCAATAGGTACTTATAGCCTCATGAAGCGATTCCCATTTGTCTAGCAATCTCATTCATATCCTACAACCCCACTCACAAGTCCTTACACGCATCTGATTGCTCCATACATTCATTATTATGGCACCTCCAATTGCCATCTACATTCTTTTTTCACTGTTATTCATCTCACACATTTGTGTGAGCAGTTACGTTCCTTCAGAAATTTCTCAACCGAAGAGACGCCAAGAAAACTTCCCCAGCTCCACAATCCCACCACCCGGGAGTTTGGTCGTGCGCCAGACCAATGCCAAGCAAGGGGATTACAAGTGAGCAATCAGGGTGGACGGAGGTATAGCTGAATAGACATGCCTTCGGTCCCTAACTTTTCAATTTTTTTTTCGACTTTGATAGCACTATCTCTGCCGCGGTAAATGCGTTGAAGACATTGAAAGGGCCTCAGGTTATCTTTATCGGCCCAGGTGAGTCACTTAGGCTTTAGCCTAAGTATCTAGCTCAACTAAGCAAAAAACTCCGGGTTGGCGGAGCTGACACCTTCATAATCTCTGATCATTTACAAGGTACCTACCATGAACAAGTCCACATCAAGTACAAGTATGTAAGTAAACATTTACTAGCCCGCTTACCTTTTGTCATCATCATGAGAAGAAGACAAACATGATTGAGCTGATAATGATGCAACTATTCACCGGTTCATTGCGAAACAGCCTCTGCGGATCCAAGGATATTCGTCTGACCCGAACTCCCTTACCGGTAATCAAGTTACGGTACAAGTGGCAGTCAGTGCAGCAAGTCACAATGGCGAAAATGCGCCAAGTTCAGCCATTTGGGTACAGAGTCCTCGGTACGCAAACCACCCTCAACTTTGCTGTTCTTCAGCCTCTCAAAGTTCCTCACTTCTCTGATGGAAGTTTGGCTAATTTTTCTTCCAACGTTTTGGTCTGATGACGCTCCTTCACCATGTTTTAGTTTTGAAATGCATAATGTGTGAGTTAACAATCTCCACCATTTCTTGTTCATTTTTTTTCAGTTGCTCCAAATATTAGCCAAACCTATCGCCTTTCTCTTCGCCAGCCCCTTCACACCTTACTGACTCTCTGCTCTGATTCCCCAAAATAGAAATGTCATCAATTCATTTGGCACAGGGACCGACACTCAAGCAGTGGCCTTGACAGCTCAGGGAGAGAAACACGGTCAGTCGTCTATTTTTCTTGAGCCATGCCTCTTTCCCTGGCACGACTCATCACAAAAACATTAGTCTAGGCCGAAACTAATCAAAAAACTTAACCGATTCCAGTCTATAAATATTGCCTCTTCACTAGTTACCAGGACACTCTTTTGATTAAAGCAGCCTCTTCTTACTTCTATGGATGTCGAGTTGAAGGCGCAGTCGGCAAGCTACATTTTTTTTAAATATTTGGCTCCCGAACAAAAAACGCACAACTTGAGTTATTAATGATTCTTTCTTCTTTTCGCAACCCAGATTTCATCTTCGGCAGCGGATCGGCTTGGTTTGAGATGGCCGATATAGTTGTCAAGCCGCCTAAACATTTTGCAACGTACGTGCGACAATCTTAGAGAGCGATGAAGGCCAAATTCTGATGGCTGACTTTTAAACATGTTTTTGGCCAAAATACAGTATTACGGCACAGCGAAGAGCGCAAGGAGGCAACACGATGTTTGTGTTCAACAAAAGCAAAGTGCTCCCATTCAGCCAGGACACCCAACCCAACTCAGTGTACTTTGGCAGACCATGGTCACCGTATTCTGCCGTGACTTTCCAGTCTTGCTATTTGAGCAACATCATCAATCCTCTTGGATGGATCCCTTGGAACGAAAGCTCAGATCCTCGAACTCAGCACGTTACCTACCAAGAATTCAACAACTACGGCCCTGGTTCGCCCACTCAAAAACGCCAAATGAGCTCCATGAGATCTGAACCTGTGAAAATATCAGACGTTTTAGGCTCCGTAAGTCAGGTCTCCGATCGCACTATCGCGATTGAGATTCGCAACCAGACAGTTATAAAAAAATCACATTAGACTAGTGTACTAACATGTTTGTGATGATTATCATTCCTTTGACGAAATTTAGGATTACGCATCATGGGCTCATTGAAAGACCGATTGATATATTGGCACCCTCTCTCCCCAGTATTGATAGATTCACATTGCTTGCCGATTGCCGCGTTATCACCCCCCTCCCAGGATTTGCACACAAGACGCACCGAACTTTCCAACCCATTTTCTTTTGAATCTCCACATCACTCTCTTCTCCCACACAAGGCGCCTTGAGCTTTCCAACACACTTTCATTTCAATCTTTCCATCACTCTCTACATACATATTCATTCTTTCGTTGGAAACTTTCATTGTTGTACCGCATACTTTCCTTCCATATAGCAGATTGTTCTTCTTGTCCTAAATTCTTCACATTGAAATCATGCATGATTCCACACACAAATGCTACCAGAAAACATAAAAAAGAGAATCAGTAACCCAAAACGGTGCCGTCCCTCATTTAACTCATTGCCAAAGATTACGACTCATTATTATTAAATTTGAGATGAGCAAGACGGCAAAAACTGACCAAAAGCTATCTTCAAACACATTCAGGTCTTAAATTCATATTAAAGCCTCCACACCCGCGCCACGTAGCAGTGAATATCAGTTGTGACATAAGCAACCACATTTTTGCTGGAAAAATCTGCTTGAGAATTACCACAAAAAACAACTATCTCTGAATTCATAAATAGAAGAATTCTTACTCATAAAAAAGGCCAACAGATTTTGATTCTGAAGTCTTCTGAGATTTTCATTCAGGTAGTTTTTTGGTTGCGTAGCCCGGTTTTATCGATTGTTGAAAATGAGAAAAGATTCAGAGTTGAAAAAAAAAATTAAAGAGAGAAAAAATCGGAGACTTCAATCATCAGTGGTTGGGCATATCACAATGGTATAAGTACCGGCTCTTTGTCAGAGTATATGTTGAGTATTGATGTGGTGGAACAGAATTGTTCTTTCTTTGGAGTGAAGCCCGCCGCAGCCAATGCCATAGGCTCTGTATGTGAATAGCGAGTTGGATGTAAATATGCTTATATCGAGTGGGCTGGCCCTCGGGTAGGATTGGGAGACTCCGAGCAAAACAGGCTGACACCGAACAAGCACCCATCACCACCACACCACTCACACTCAACCAACCGAACATCCAAAGAAAACCGCAATCATGGCATCCGGACCAGTTTACCGTGCCTTGAAATGCACTCGGGGATATGCGACCGCCGCCTCAAAACAGGTCAGTCCCACTCACCCAACCAGTCTCCCTGGTTGAAGAAGTCGTCTCGGGTAGAATCGATGCCAATATTGATGCGATGCACGGACATTCCATCTGACGTCATTGATATCATCCAACAGCCACCGATCCAGCTACAAGGACTCTCGGGAAAATACGCAAGCGCTTTGTACTCGGCCGCTGTCAAGAAGGATGAAAAGACCTTGAGCACCGTCGAGAAAGACCTCTCGTCCATCCAGCGGGTACTCTCCAGCAAAGATGGTCCGCCTTGATACCCCCTCTGAGCTTCCATGAATGGAACGTCGCACGATAAGACTCTGTACCTTCTGACAGACTGCATTTATCAAACATATATCTTTAGGATCGGCCATCAAGCAATTCCTCCACAACCCTACCCTTCAAGCAAGCGATCGCAAGAAGGGGTTATCCAACATGATGAGCAAACTTGGTCAACCCACCGAACTGACCAAGAACTTCTTCGACGTCCTAGGAGAGAATGGACGTTTATACGAAACCGAGAAGGTGGGTACTGAAAAAAAAAAAAAACACTTCGATCTATCGAGCCAGTAAAGGGCTAGTCTCTCTAATCCAAAGTCCCTATTCCAGGTCATCGAGGATTTCTTGAACTTGATGAGTGCGCATCGTGGCGAAATGACCATCACGATCACGTCGGCCCAACCGCTTGAATCGTCGCTCCAAAGCCGTCTTGAAGCCAGCTTGAAGAAAAGCACTGCCGCTGAGGTGCGGCCGTTCTCTTGACCCATCACCAGTCGGAAGTTTGAGCGAAAAAAATGCATCTCCTGACCCTGCTTTTTTTTCTGGTAGTCCAAGACGGTTCGAATCAAGAACGTCGTCAAGCCTACCATCTTGGGCGGCCTGATCGTCGACTTTGGCGACAAGACGATCGACTTGAGTGTCTTGAGCCGCGTCAACAAGATGAACGCCCTCCTTCATGTATGCATGCATCTGTCAAGAAAAAGAAAATCTCTTTGCGTGCCCTTTGTCTTACTGATTGGATTTTCTTTCACAGGAATCGGTTTGAAAAAGTCGCCTTTAATAAACGTCATATCGGATTACGTTGCCTCTCAAAAAAAAGGCCACTGCGTTCTCTATGACTTAGATTCCTTAGTAGCGATCAATGTTGTCTTAATCTCCAGAAGGAATTGAGAATTGCAAAAAAAAATGTCACTATGTTTTCAGTAGCAAACAAGAGTTCCTAAAGGGGCGACAGAGCAGGATCATAAGCGCAGCGTTTTTTTTTTTTTTTTCTTTCAGAAGTATCATCACCATATGGTCCTCATTCCGACAAATGTTTGAACCTCGAACAAAGTAAACCTCATCATGATTATGCTACGAGATGATTATGAGGCGGAATATAGCTGATTGATATGTGGCGGAAAAGTCCAATGAAGGATTTATCTAAGAACTTCTTTGTCTTCATTTGCGGCGTCATCTCCAGGAGGGAAAACAGGATGTTTGGTGCAGAGGCCTGCAATCCCTGGTGGTTCAATAAAGCAGATGAGTGATCGATAAGACATAGGGAATGACATGGACGGTGAATCTGTCTTACAGTGATGAATGGGCATCCGGCCCGAGCTTTAGTTCTTGCCGGCATCTTCCGCTGCCGGTCCAAGCATCTTTTTTTTTCTCATCTTATCGACACAATGTGCTTCAAAGCACTATTGGAGAGCCGATGACGTGTCAAAAGAGCCCCTGTTGCGCTATAGGAGCAACAAGAAGTTCAAGTAAGAATGTCTCGACAAATCCACAGGGACAGAATTGCCGTGCACTTTGATATCTGTTGGATCATGCCAGTTACATGTGATCGTCTTGTGTCCCGTTGGTTTTAAGTCGTTAGTCCTTTTACTCAGGTTACGGTGTTTCACAAATTCATAGTGTACTGCAAAGCCTTAGGCCAAATTCTCACTTGAAAGAAACACGGTCATCCTCTAAGCTTGATCAAAGTCTATTGGAGAAAAAAAGAGGAACCTTTGCTCATGACAAGCAGCCTTCTTAATCCAAACTAGCTCACGGACACGGACGAGGATGTCCTCTCAATCACACAGCTATGTAGCAAATCACAAACCCATTTGATATATTGCAGAAAGAAAATAATTGACAGATCCTAAACATATATAGTCGCCGGAGGTACACTTCTGAGATATTGACAAGACCGATACAAGCAGAACTAAACCAGAAAGAAGTAGGAAAAATGGGACATCATAAAAGGAATCCAGAGCTGAGTGTTGTTGGGTAAGGGGAAAGCTCAGTTCTTGGTGAGGATCATGGCGACTTGTTTCTCGTCGATCTTGGTGCCGGACTTGCTGGTACCAGCTTCCTTGGTGTCCTGATATATATTATAAGTGGAAAATTCAAGCCAGTCAGATGATTAGTCTTTTGTCCGTTTTTCCAAGCTAGAATACGATTCTTTCAATGTTTAGAAGGGTGCACTGACTGGGTTGGCACAAGCATTCAAGATGTTGTGAACACCCGCCTGGAGATCCTTCGCGGAACTGTAGATTCAAAAAGAAAAAAAGAACACGCAGATGTAAGTATGATATATCCTTTATTTTGTTCTGTGAACAGTTGAGTCTGATGGCTTACATGAGACCTGGGGCCACTTTCTCGTTGCCGCTGACGAGTGCCACCTAGACAAACAGAAATACCGATCTCGTTAACACGCGCTGCAGATTATGTAGGAGGACTGGCTCAACCAGTGGCAGACAAATCAATTCATGCGCACCTTGCAACCGCCGTGGCTAGCCGTCGAAAGTTTCTTCTCGGACATTTGGTTGACAGCCCTGAGGTGAAAAAGGGACAAAGAAGCTGGTTAGCGGGAACATCGAGGACTGAGAGATGTTTGGAAAGAGCAACATACTCAACGCATTCCTTGAGGGAGAAAGTTTGAGGAGCTGCGCCATGGGCGGAACAGGTGACCGTTTCGCCAGCGTCTCGACGGACAAGCTGCTCGGCATCATCAAGGTCGATTGCACGTCTGGTGACACTGTGTGCGCCTTCGCCGTCGTTGGCCTTGACAAAGTAGCGAGTCCCGAGTCCCCAGTTAACGGGGTAAAACGTGGCTCCGAAGCAGCTCTGACCAAGGACCGTGCTGTAACGGCTGTAGAGATAGGGGTTCCACGCGTATAAGGAAAGCCCGTTGCCTCCCCACCAACCTCTTCGGTAGTAGCCGGGATAGATCCACTTCTCGTCGACTTGCTCGGTCTTCGCGCTGGCCACTTCATCTGCCCGGGAGACAGCGACGAGCACAGCCACAAGGGTAATCAGGTAGGCGAGAGAAACCATTTTGTAAGCTTTGTGGTTATTGGTGAGTCGGGTGAGTTTTCGGGAGGTCTGTCGGAATCTTCTGGGTTGGGTGTAGATACAAGATGTGATCTCGGTGGCTTGGTTGGTTGGGATGATGGAAAAAACGGGGGCCGATGAGGGTCCTTTTATCTTTCCAACTGGACCACTGGGCACTCTTGCAAGGAGTCTTGCAAGGCTTCATCAGCGTTCAGCTCGTCATGTCGCTCTCTAGCGAGATGAGTGCAGGATGGGTTTGGTGTAACTAGACAACGGTGGAGCAGAAGTCAATACATAGATCATATGAGGCTAAGATAGGGTGAGATCGGCCAATGGAAGCTCCTCCAAGAAGTACTCGTTCAAAATCGCTCCTTGATTGTTCAAGACCGATCAAATAAGACTACCACGCCGATGGCGTATATACTAGAAGATCATAATGGATGGGAAGAGGAGGTGTAGTACTAGCTCGGTCATGCTACCGAGGCGGCCAACGGCGTGCACCGATCCGGTTGGCTTCCCATTGCAAGACACGTTAGCTTCATCTCTCGTCATCCATCTTCCCTTAATTGCGACAACGGCACGCTCTCCCGAGTCCCGATATCTCAGGGCAGATCTCGCCGGCTGGGGCTAACAAGCGGGCCAGGTATCCGCCTGTTGGACCGCCGGGGCTTAAGCATGCCTGGTGGGCCAACCATTGTGGCCTGTCCAAGGCTTGCAGGTTACACCTCCGGCGCAGTTCGACCGAACTTAACGCAAGTCTGCTCGCGGGGCCCGAGCATCCGCAAGGGAGGGACTTGAGACCAATGCCCTGCATTTGGCTTGAGGCTGGCCAGCCCTCTGGCTGAAATTCCTTTTAAACCTATTTATCACCCTCAACCTCTCCTATTCATCCATTGCCTCTGGCACCCTTGGAATCTGATAACTTTTCTACATACTCTTGTACATTCAACACAACCAAAACCCTGTTACCTTGAAATAAATTTAAATGTAGAAAATCTATTTTTGAGACTATATTTCGCCCTGATGCAGACCAGATAGCTGTTGTAACCCAGTTACATGGTTAACATCCAGCTCACTAGACACCAGCATGTGTAGCTTGAGGACGCAAGTTTGTTCTGATAATTAAAAACATCATTCACAGACCACATCAATAGCCAGTCTGGTCTAAAAAGATAGCCAATCCGGTCTCAAAACATGAAAACAAGTGGAGGACTTCCTGTCGCAATTTAGAATGATTTTTAGACCTCCCTCAGTCCTAAATTAACAACAGGATTAAGATCTCAACCAGCTCACATGAGAGCTGTTTCTGGAAGGCTTCAGAGAAGATATTTTTCTTTATGAAAAAAATAGATCTAGCAGCAGGAAGTCATCCAGTTTGAATGTTATTTTCATTGGTATGTGTATAGAAATAGGTACATGTTTATTTGGCAATCATTCCAACATACATTTGGAACAGACACATGTCATTCATAAGTCAATACTAAAAAAACCATGAGACCTTCACCATTGGATGATCCAATGGCACAATTTCATTCCATAGGAATAGCTCTTGCAAGATTTGCTGCAGATTTGCCAGTTCTTAATGGAATTACTCAAAAAAAAAAAATGTAGGAGAAAGCCAAGATTGAGGGCTACAACACTACAAGAAAAATTCAGGCAACTGCTACCAGTTGACATGAAGAAAGCTCCACTCAAGCCTCAATGGAAACTTGGGCCATTGTGTTGAAATAATTGAGTGGGACTACCCTGTGGCTACAAAGGGGTGAACCAGAACAATGTAGAATAAAAGTCAGAGTTTGAATCAGGTTGAGTGTAGAGTATGGTGTGAGCTCTTGCATGTCAACTGCCACCAATTGCTTGACTTTTTCTTGCAGTGCAACATAGTATATTTGTATCTGTTGTTGAATGTGAGGGAGAGATGTGGAAGGGTTGTAGAGACAAATTTCATGAATTTCTTTGTCAAAACCTGCCAGCCTCAGGCCAAGGGGGTCACTTGAGTCATAAGCCTCTCCTTTGGAGATGCTTTGTGCCTCCTCTGGAGAGGCTTAGTTAAGCTTGCAGTTCAACATGGTCTGACACCACTTTTTCCCATGGATCCCACAAATGGCCACTGAGGTGGGTTGCACCAGCAGCTGATGATCCACAGTTTTGAAGCACCCTACCACAACACCCCTGTCCCGAGGGGCCAACTTGGAATCTAGTAGAGCCACAGTTAGAAAAATGGCAGTGGCCCCAAAAAGGATTCCAGGTGGATTCAGACCTGGAAAGCGGGCCAGAGCTGATGGGCAAGGGGGTAACCTTGACCACTGGTCCACAGTGGCATATTGTGACAATCTCCTTTTGAGACCATATTGGCTTGTACCAATTGGTTTTGGATTATTTTTACTGTCAAACAAAAAAAATTAAGCTTTTTTTTCAATACTTGGTTTTCTTGAGTTTTTAGAAATTTAGACTATCAGGACCCATACTGGTGGGTCCTGGCTGTATTTCAACTGAATGGCAGCTGTCATGGAAACAAAGGGGGAAACAAGCCCACCTGCCCCCCTATTGACTTGGATGTGGGTTTGAGGAATCAACAAATTGAAAAAAAAGCTTGGTTTGTGGAACCAACAACAAAATCCGCCCTTACCAAAGACTTACAGAGCCAATATTTTCTGTTCCACAAATAGGCCAAGTTTTGTCTTTCCAACAATCTGTGCAGTAAGAAGTCTTACTTTGGGGGAAAGGAAATGAGTGAGGCAATCCAATAATGACATTTTGCTTATCCCATCTGAACTCCAGAATACATCACCAACAATGAAACAATGCAATGCTGACAAATTTTTCCAGCATTTCATTGTTCCAGGACTTGTTGTTCCAATCTGAACCCTTCATTTGAACGCCTGTTAAATACTATTTCCCTCCCCCTGTATTTTTGTGCATCCACAACACCAATGCTATTGCATTCTGGGCTTGGTCAGTTGTGTGTTTTGTTCTTTCTCATCAATTTCCTTAAGCAAAAAAGAACCAAATTCTCTTTTTGTGTTTGCACCACATTATTCTTTGCATTCCACAGTGCCCAAATCCTCTTAATTGTGAAGCCCTAGCTTCCCCATAAGGAAGTAAGCCTTACCAACCACTGAATGTAAACGGCTTTGACCATATGTTGTACTCTTCTAACCACTCTCATTCTCTGTTATCTTGCTCTCTAGAAGCTTATCTTGGCTTTGTAACCATCTTCTAATGCTGCTCTTGGCCATAGCCCCAGTTTTACTGCCGTTTGAAGCCTTATTGTCTTCTATTCTCCTTATCCGGTTCATTTAACTATGTGTACAATATGACTAAACTTGGACCAGACTCTTACCAATTTGGAGAACCTCTTGTATTGCTAAGTACTCACTGTCCTCCTGTAGTTCCTCTCCTCACTCACTTGAGCACACCTATTCCCTTCTCATCTATAAATACAACCCCTTTTGTCCATAGCAATGAAGCCTTAAATAATTTCCCTTGTACTTTCCTACACCTTGAAACCGGCAAGCAATCACATCATCAATGTGTCAAATTCTTTTGCTGCCAATTCACCCCAGAATCTTCTGTCACTCTTGATTTATTCTTTACCCTTCAATTCCTTGAATGAATGCAAGAATTACAATGAACTGCTTTTTTTTCCCTTCTGCCTGGTCTTGACCATCCACTTGACTGGAAGCTACTTTCCATGAGCAAACTGAATGCTTTCTCTTTTCAGGTTTTTCCTGTCACCTCTTGCTTTTAATGTCCACTATCATATACCTGTTCCATCCCCACATCATCAATGCTTCAACTCAATGTTCACAATGGTCTTTTGTCTTTTCCCTACTCTGGATCCAAATTGTTCTTTGCCATTGTTGGACTTTCATTTCCTAAACCAATAAATCACCTGATGCTGGGCAAAAGATTGTGGTCATGTGGCGCAGCCACAATTTCCCTAGTTGAAGTTATTACTTACTTCTGCATGCAGATGCAGCAGAATTTTGCTGTACTCCGCTAAATTATAGAGAATTTTGCTGTTTTATACCATGCTGACACTATGGTTAGCTTGATTGGCCCACCCTTGGATAGAAGAAAAGGCATCCAGGGAAGCTGCTGACACATACATCTCCTGAATCCAACCACAAAAAAATGAAACATCAAGAAAATGCAAGGCAGAAAAGGTGAGTGCATCCATGCTGGAGTATTGATGAGATGGGGGTTGGAACCAAATTCAGATGAAATGAGACTTGATGTCTACTTTTCCAAGAAAAATGTTGGGATGGTGATAGAGATGGCAATTGGCAACTGTTGGGGGGTACCTGTCACATTTTCAGAACATGCCCTCCACATCTCCAGCCACCGGTAATGTAGAGAGAAGGTGCAGTGATGACAAAGGTTCTGTGCTGGAAATTGAATGCCCCCCTACATTTCTGGTGGATGATGTTTTGCAGGGACTGTTCTGAAATTGTGAAAGGTAACCTCCAACATGTCAGCCTTAGAGACAGAAAAGCTGGCCAAAACCCTGCTTTGAATATTATCTCTACCCATAATTCCTCTATAAATTTTTACTCTCAATATATGTTCAGTATTTGACTTCTGAGATGTATTAATTAAAAACAGATAAATGTGTGGACCCTGTGTAATTACGGGCAGCAATTCCCCCTATGTCCTTCAGCGTGGTTAGTATAGGGACAAAAGTTATGATTCAATACCCCACACTCACCGGCCTGATCCCCGGTCGCTCCTCTCCTGTACACACCCCCTTTTTATATTCTGTCCCCTTACCCTCCATACCGTTTTCTCACCCCTGCTTTCTTAGCTCTTGCCCGCTTTAAGCAACTCCCCCCCACCCCCACCTTCCTATTCCATCACCCACCCTCACCCCCTCTCTAGCCCGGTTCCGGCGTCTGGACCCAAACAAAAATATACCAAAAGAGTTAAGAACAGTCTCCTGAGCAGTTTGACCTTGGGAGTTAGTAAATAGATTCTTGTGTCTATGTCTGATGTACTTCCTTTTTAAAATCTTGTTCCTGTCCGATGTCCTTCCTTTTTGAAATCCTGTACCTGATAATTCAGGTTGATTGTACCGGTTTCTGAGACTGCCAATTTTGTATGAACCATTGACATTTGT